CTTAAGGCGCGCACGCGCGCAAGTGAAGAAATTGTCGAAGACAGAAAATTAAGTACAAACATTTGAACATTTTGAGCGTCGCTTTTCCCTCAAGCTTTGGATGGAGAGGAATTTCAGTGGCAAATAGCACTTCTTCCTCCTCTCATTGTATAGATACAAAATATCTCTTCGTGATCTCTTGCGTAACTCAACATGATAATAATCAATCTCTCATGCGTGATCTTTCATTGATATTGAACAGAAAATTGAGGGCGGTTTTTTTTTTATTTCATCGTGCAAATCTCTGCTTGTCCAGGCGCTTCAGAGAGACCTAATTTTTTTTTGGCTGATGGGAAATTGCCAAAGGGGTGAAAATCAATCAAATTGATAAAATGTGATGTATGAGAAAGTTGTGAAGGGTTTGCAAGAGACATGAAAATAATTAGGGAAGTCTGACGAGTATTTATTCTGCGTGTGTGAAAAAGAGACCACAAGCTTCTCCGCTGGAAATATTATTGCTTTTTCGATTGATTACCCACCTCTTACAATCAGTTTAATTAAAGTGATAAGAGATATTGACGAACGCCGTAAGTGATACACTGACATTTATCGGGCCAAACATGGCAGGTTTGCGGAGAAAGAATGGAGAAATATTGGGAAATATTTGTACCCCAAAAAGCCCTAGATCTTACTAGAATTTCAATAAGAATGTCTTAAGAGACGACACAGAGCAGCAAATGCACAAAATATTCCCCTCTCTTCCGTGACTTCTTTTCACTTCTATTTACCCAAAAATACAGCCTCAAGAAAAAGGTGATTGTTGTTGGTTTAGGACGCGTCGTGCAATGAAACGAGATGAGCCACAATCAGTCGCGTCTGGAAGAGACTTCATCTCTCTCTCAGGGGTTCTTGCACTGCTTGCGAGAGACACCTTTTATCACATATATATTTCTGGTCTGAAAGGCACACACAACTTCCTCTGTCTCTCTGTGGCCAAGAAGAACACATCAATTTCACCTCCAAATGCCCATATTCTGACACGAGACAGCCGAGCAACTGCCATTCTTTCCTACGTGGCGTGTCGAGGGCATAGATAAGAGTGGGCAAATGTACAAAATTGTTGATTAACTCAAGCAGAAAAAGAGTCCACGTAAGGCTGAATTTTAAAAACGATTTTCCTCTCTTTCACACCTTGCAGAAAAAAAGACACACGTTTTCTCCTAATCTCTCTGGCTTGACTTTTTGGAAGTAGTTGCAGAAGAAGAAATTTTGGGAACATTTCAGACCGCGTGAGTCATACAATTTTGTGGTTGGCGAGAATTATTTTTTTTTTCATACAATTCCGAAAGTTGGCTGACCCTTGGCAGTTGTAAAAATATCTGGGCAAGACGGCGAGTGACAAAAATGTGGCGCTTTTTCGGTGTGTCGCAGGAAGGAAGTCGCTCAAAATGTGAAACATACACACTTTTTCTTTCTTTTTTCTCTTCTTTCCACGACAGCAAAGTGTGTGGAAGGGAACTATATGGGGATATTTGCTCTGGAAAAACACCCATACTAGCGCCATAACGAGCTCTCTTGTCTTCCAGAATGAAGTCTCTCCCAAGTTTGACAAATAAGTAATACACTTTCTTATCTCAATCTCGCTTTTCCTCCTCTATTTCTATTTATTCCGCTGTGACACCCCATAAAGAGAAATGAATCAAATGACGCAACGATAGGTGTGATACACAATGTTCAGAGCGCTCTTCCTGTCCAGCAGGATGATGAACTGCCTGTTGAACACTCAGAGAGAGAGCAATTGAAGTAGTTTAGAGACAAATTTCAGCACTTAAATTGCCACAAAACAGCCAAGAAAGGTCATTTTGAGTACAAAAAAAGGCAATCCTAATCGCATGAATGTCTTTATAACAAAGCTTCGAACTGAAACTGATTGAAATCAATGAGCAATAATTCATTGCGTGATGAGAAGCACAAATTAGTTCTCTAAAGATAGGTTTTAATACCTTAAAAGAGTGCAAACTCATAGATTTGTTGTTATTCTTACATTGAACATTTTCTCAAAAATTCCCAATAGTTTTTACATTTATTCTGTAAATTTTTCGCTACAGAAGGATTTGAAGTTTAGGATTTGATTAATTTTTCTCTAAACTCTCTCTGTTATCTTTCATTAAATTGATAATATTGCTTTACTCTCTTTTTTTTCCTGCATATTTCCCAGATTATTCCACTATTATTTATTGAAATATTAACTGAAATACGGAGAGTTGAAAATATTTAGAACAATAAGTCGATTTTTTATAATTTTCGTGTACTGTTTTCAAACAGTTTATAAAAATTAACTCCGATGGGTTTCTGGTCAATTTAACAGTGGCAAAATGGAAAAATGAGATCTTTTTATAGCTCATCGAATAATTATTTGTGCAGCGAAAACTATCAAAAGTCGACTTTTCATAGTTTTCAGCGCAGCATTGAGAAATTTTCTATACACGGGATTTTTAGGAAAAATCTTATATCTTAAATTTTTGTCGATGAACTCAATGTAATATTTTGAGACGTTAAAAATACATAAGACGTATAAAATCCAGATATAAAATGAAAATCTACACGACAATTATCCTGAAGACATTTCGGATTAATTAAATCCACTTTAAGAACCAGAAACAAATTATTGTTCAGACGACGCTATTTAAAATCTCGGGTTGTTTTCTGCTTTGGATCAGTTTTGGCACCACAAAGTGAATTAAGATTAGGCCGAATGTCTTCAAACTTAGCAAGATTGGTGGAGAATTTCAGACTTCTAGCTTCATGGGGCGCTATTTAAAATCTCGCCACTGTAAATACTTAAACACGGTGGAAAACCAAAGAATTCTTGGGCAGGAAAAGAAGGAACTTCAGCATTCATTGGACAGATTTTCTGCAGGCATGAAGATCAATGTGAATAAATCAGAAGTTATTTAATAAGAAGACTGACACTGAATTTTTCTCACGTGTTCGAAAAGGTTTCTGCGATAGTGAGAAAGGCCAAGTTATCGGTCTGCAAGACGGTGTTTAAGCCAATTCTCACCTATGATGACCGAAAGAATAAAATCGCGAGTTCAAGCGGCTGAATTTCACAATTGAAAAGAAAATCGTTATCCTAATGAATTGACAGAAGGAGGATCGAGAAGAGTGGAAGGACGATTCAACTTACCCAGAAATGCCACAAATTGACTTGTCGATGAGTGAAGAATTAGACAAACTACAATTCACTGAATCTTCTCAATTATTCCAATCACACTTTCACCCCTTTCTTCACACCCCACGACAAAGGCCTCACTGGATTGGGTTTTGGGAGGAGAAAAAGGGGGCTTTTTTTATGGAAATGACTGGCCTTTCATGGCGGTGCTTAAATGCAGAGAGTGTGAGAGTGGAAAGGTGTCGCAGAACAACTGCAACTGTTGTGTAGGACGTTTGGATAGAGAGTTGTGAACAATTAGCATAGGTGGTCGCTCTTTTATATCCATCACACACTATGCAAATCACCCACCCCCATTCCCAGTCCAGTCATCAGTCATGGAACCATAGCAACATAGATAGTGGAATTGATAAACGACGTGGAAAAAAGGGGTATTTATGTGCGTCTCATCATCTTTTTCCTTGCTCACCGATCCGCTCAAGTAGTCGCTTGATAACACGAAAATTCTGCCATTTAATTAGCACACAATTACATGCAGCAAAATTGAGGTGAAAAAAATATATATATTCGTCTCCTTTTTAAATATGCTCTTCACGGAGGCGATTTTGATGACTTTTTTTTTTTTGGACTTTATTTTTGGGAGATTATTTTCATTGCTTTTGGCGCTTTTTGGACAAAATCCACGAATGTGTTTTCCCGTGAGAAATTTGCACGAAATCATATCGATTTTTTTCTTATATTCAATATCAACACCATTTGATACGGTGTTATGGTGGAAATGTGGATAAAATGAGGCATTTGGACACCCGATATACACTCATTTTCTCTCTCTCTCAGCTAAAATATGGTGATGATAAAGAGAGGAGTTCAATGTAAATATTGGATATAAACCACACACTCGCCGATAAGATTTCTCCCCCTAAAGTACACACAATTTTTCGTGATAAATTCCCTTCCAATTCACCTCTTATCAAATAATCAATACGCAAGAGGTGCTCAAAGAGGGCTGAATATGATCGAAGAGAAACGGCATACTCTTGCTTTTAGTCCCAGACTCATCAAATCTGTTCCTTGCGATATTAAAAAGGATCAGAATGACCTTAGAAAACAATTCTAAATGGATCTAAGAAGCAAATATGACGCGGAATTTGCCCTAAACAACTGAAATCGACCTTTTTACGCGGTCAATTGCGCTCCAAACTCTCTTGCTGGAATAAGAGGTCCTTCTGCTTATTTCGCTGAGAAAATGTCCTTTCTTGCGCAGTCGAAAAGCTCCTTACGATCCTCAGAAGTTGCGTATTGTTCACATTCCATAACTTTATACACAATTAATCAAATTTTAATATCAAACACTAATAAAGTCCAGATAAAATGTGAAAATCGACAGGACATTTATCCTGAAGACACCTCGGATACATTTAAACCTCATTTAGAACCCAAAACAAATTATTGTTGAAATTCTTGTTAAGAATCTTGGATTATTTTCTGCTCTGGCTCAGTTTTGGCACCACAAAGTGATTAAGGATTAGACCGAATGTCTTCAAATTTGGCATGACAATAGCTTATTAATGAGAGAAGATTGGTGGAAAATTTCAGACTTCTAGCCTCAGGAGGTCCTATTCGATTTGGCGTAACTGTAAGTTTTCACATTAAAAACCCTCTGAAAAATACTTCTAAAATCTCTTACTTTAAGAGACATGCAACTGGAAATCATCTTTGCCTTCTTGTCCATTAAAAAAATGCAATCTAGAAGGCTCTTTGTGTGAAGAATTGTTCCCCAATTTCACGATTCACAACTCGATCGTGTTGCAAAATTCTCAGATCTTCATTTTTTGCTGACACTCACCGTTTTTCCAGCGCCACATTCAGCGACTTTTGCCTGCTGCAGTTGCTGTAATTCAAGAATCTGCCTTCGCAGTGTCGCGAGCTGCAAGAGAGAGCAAATTCCCGGCGTCAGACGGACATACAGAGTGGTTTGAGGAGTGTCAGGAAGTCTTATCAATCAAATCCCCTGACAATTCGACAAATGGGTGAAAATCATAAATCGTGTGGTAATTGAGTTCGGCGGGTGGAAATGCAAATGTGATATTTATGTTGCGCACCGCGCGATTATCGTCCAGATATTGTGTGGTTTGGGGAACAGATGGAATATTCATATCATTAAATGCTCTGATAAGAAGAGCGTGCGTTCAGGTAACCGAAATCTCTCGGTGTTTTTTTCTCCCCCCCGGGAAAAGTGGCTTGAAGTGGATGAATAAACATTTCAGGGCAGAATCACGCAGATAAGCTGGGAAAAGTGGCTTGTTTTTCCCAATTGCCACCCAAAATCTCATCTCTTCCGGGAAGGTTTACAATTTTCCTCGCATCGCGAATGAAAACAACGACTTTTCTTCTCTCTTCTTGCTGTTGGGAAAAGGAAAACAAAGAATCTTAACCTCAATCGTGACTCCGTTCATTGAGACTTTTCCCTTCTCTGACTTCCTGATTCTCCACTCAAGGTGCACGGATTTACCTCCTGATCCTGTGTGGAGCAGAGCTCAGTGAGCTCCTGGATGCGCACAGTGGCATTCTCCAGCTTGACTACGTGGTCAACCTCATCCTCCTCTTGAATTGGCTGCACGACCGTCTCCTGAATCACCTTCGTGATTTGGCCCTTGATGCTGTTCAGACTGTCCAAATTCAGCCACGACATTCTGCACAAACTACTCAGGCGTCTCGCTGTGGAATCACTTGATCTCCTTCCTGCTGTCGTTGGAATTAATTAACATTTTTCACTCAAAACTACGCTGTGGCCAAAACACAATCGCTCACAAAACATACACGCAATTTGACACATCACAGATGTTTTCACGAAGTATGCCTGTCTCTTTCGCGCTATATTCACCACTTTTGGCGCCAAAAGTGCAGAGCAATAAAATCAATAAAATGCGCAAGAAACCAAGGAAGACTCAAGTTAGAGAAAAGTGGTTTCCATTCCTCAAATTTCCTTATACATTCCATAATCCAGGCCTACGATTTCGCTGTCAAAAATCCATTCGCTCCATTCCAATCTATTCTTCGAAGAATTATATTCGAAATCGGCTAAGCAGAATCTCACATAAGAGAATTTGGCACAAGATTGTGAAGTCGCGGGTTCGATTCTCTTGCAATTGTGTTTTTTCACAATTCATTTCATGTATTTTCCTTCACTTTATCGCTTTATATCGTCATTTATCCCTAAATCTTCGCCTAAAACCTTCACCTGATCAGCTGATAAAGCTAAAAAGGTTTCTTTTCACGATCAAATTCCTCTCTTTCCTCGCCAGGATCACGCCAGAAAGTCATTGCGTGCGCGAATGTATGAAAACGCAATATTATTAGCTCTGCAAACGAATATTGTGGAAAATGTCAGTTTTAGCTTTACTAAAAAGAGTTCTTTGGAGAAGTTTCAAGCCCGAGAAAGGACAATTAAGCGTCAAAAAGAATCTGAAGCCATAATCTGAGACTCAGATGGAGTTATTGGAGATAATATTCCGAATATTCCTCAGGCTTATGATTCTTAATTTTATCCATTCCTAAATTCCCATCCATTCCCATCTATTCTTTGATATTCCTGCTGAAGTGATTCGTCCATTCTTCACTTGAGCAATCATTGACAAGAGAAAGATCTGTTTTAGAAAGAAATTGTCTCTATTCCAGCGCCAAAAACTACAATATTACATTTATCTAGCATTAGAAGTCCTTTCAGGTCCGAAACAGAAGTGAATTTCTCACAGATCAAGCTCAAATCATGAAGATTTCCTCTAACAATTCTCTGGTCAACGCTTGTGGAGAAGAACTCGTCCTTGTTGGCGATTTTAATTCCTGTTACCTGAGCAAAGTGCAAGGAAGTCTTGCAAGTCTCCTTCTGCACAATCTTCCCACTCTCGAAGCCAAAGACAGTCTTTGTGATCTTCTGATCATCGCCTCCGGTCAAGACAGTAAATTCTTCGCCTTCTTTCCACACATCGAAGCAATTTATCCCGCTCTCGTGATGAGAAATGCTGTGAAACGGAATGGAATCATTGGAAAAGTCTTCAGCATTCCAGAGAATAATCTTCCCATCAGTTCCCATCGTCAGGAGGATTTTCCTGCCTTGACATTCGATGATCTCGATGTTCAAAATGCATCTTCTGTAGAAAACTGACGAGATTAGATGGATTTTCTCCTCTTCCAGCCTGAATTTTCTCACATATCCATCAGAACAGCCCACAAAAATCTCCCTTCCATCAATTGTCAGACACATAAAGCGCGTTTCTGGGCAGAAATCAATCATTTGACTCTGTCGATTCTTCCTGAAGTCCTTCGCTTTCAACATGTAGTTGACAAACTCGTGAATCTGTGGCTTGTCTCTGGCCAGGATTCTCGTCAAGCACATCTGAGCTCTTCCGCCGACAGAGAAGAGCAGGAAAGAGTCTTTTTCCGGCAATTTCATCAGCTTCACAGCACGAATATTGGAAATATGCGTCACAATTTCACTCACATGAGTTAATTCTTTGCCCAGGAAGTTTATCCTGAGGACATTGTCATCACCACCGGAGATCAGGAGAGATTTACCCGAGGACGTCTTGAGAATTGCTCCACAATTGCAAGATCTGAAGTGCCAATTAACCGTGGGAATATTCAGAGAGTCTTCAGAGAGATTTTCGAGTGAGAAATTGTCCAGGAAAGGCTTCTTTTCCCACACGCTGATGACTCTTGCTGCATTCTGCTCGGCATTCATCACGAAATCCCAGTATTTGTGACCTCCTCCTGTGCACAGCTGGAAGATTACACCGTGATTTCTCTCCCACACCACAAGATTCTCATCATTGAAGCCGAGAATCAATTTCTGGCCGCTTTTCAGGCAGAAAATCCTTTCCACCCACGAAATGGGGACTTTTTCCGTGAAGATTTCCCTCAAACTCGCTTCATTTCTGTCCAGGAGGAATTTCCTAAGCACTCCATCACGTCCAGATGTCCAGAACTCTGCAGATTCCTCAGAAATCTCTTCCGTGTGGATTTGAGTGACGCCAAGATTTCCGTGAACACATTTCTTCGTGGCTTCGATGATGATTTGTCCAGGAAACACGCGACAGAGGTGAAGATGACCAAGTCTGTCACTCATCAGGAGATAGTCAGCCACTCTCCTGGCCATGGTGATCCACTTGGTGTACCAGAGATCCTTGCAGAGCGACACGGAGAATTGCACGAGGATCTTCAATGCTTTGTCCGTCACTGCGCAATTTCCTCGATCGTCCACGAAGAAATACTCTTCAGGAGAGATTTGGTAGAATGTCCTGATCAATCCCTCCAGGAGATTACAATTCCTGTGCTCCTCCTGGACACCTGAATCGCAGATTTGATAGATTATCGCTTCGTGATGCGAGCAAATCAACACTTTTCCATCGACATTCTCAATTAATGCGATGTAAATGTTGGGAATGGGCATTTTCTCTTGACATCTCCACTCTTCCGAAGCCTCCAGCTTCATCAGGAACATCTCAGAAGTCATCACAAGAATTGTCTGACTGTCAATGAAGAGAATCTTTGAGATTTTCTCATCAAGAAGCGCTTTTCTGGGACTCTCATTAATTCCTCTGTCCAAAATCTCCCTCAAATTCAGCTTCTTCACATTCCCATCACTTCCAGACGTCAGCACAGTGTCTTGCGTCCTGTCGTAGTCCAAATTCCAGATCACAGCTCCACTGTAGAGGGCTTTCCGGAAGAGAAACTTCCCTGATTCGTGCCACACGCACAAATTGGAATCCTCTCCGATGGTCAAGATGAATCTCTGCTTGTTCTTCTCGACGATTTTGCTCCTGAACACTCGAGATTTGTGTCCAAAGAGCGAAGCGATGCAGACAATCTTCTGGTTTTCCTCCCTTTTCCAGATCTTTGCCGATCTGTCGTCGGAAGTCGTCACCAGAAGATCCTCCTCGGTGGTTATTGAGAAGATAACACCCTTGTGAGCTGTGAATCTGTGCAGGATTCCCGTGCTTGCTCGCCTTGGCTGCCAGAGGATCACTTCTCCAAGAGCAGTTCCGGAAAACACCAAGAAATCCTCCCAATTCTTTCCCTCCACGTGAGAACAATAAAGCATGGAATTGTCCTCGCATTTTGCCCTCTTCTTTACCCTGAAGGACTCCTTCGAGGACTCCTTTGAGGGCTCTTCAAGTGTTATCAGCAGAGCAATGTTGTGTCCAGTGATTAAGCAAATGTTATCAAGATCATCTTCGCAATGAATGCTGCTGATCAGATCGGAAAATTTACACCCATACAACTTCTGGAGAACTCCTCTGACTATCCCAAAGGCTGCCAAGTATCTTCCTCCGTGAACCAGAACAGTGACTCCCGAAATCTGCCTCACAATCTCAATGCCAAGGATTTTACTGCGAAAACCCGTGTCAATGCACTGAACAGTGGTTTTTCCGTCTTCGCATTTCAGGTACTTTAGCTGATTTCCCACACCTGAAAATCACACCACATTGTAGCTCAAGCATCCCCAAAGGATTCTCCATACTTGCCGATGAGAATCTCTCTCGAATTGATCACTTTTATCGCCACTGAATCCGCAATCAACATTTCCACGCTTGTTTGTTTACAAAATAACCTGAAGATTCCGTTGACGGATCGGCATTTTGGCGGTGGTGAATTTGTCCCAAATCGTCCCAAACTGTCACTTTGCCGGGCGAACCGCGAGGCGTTTGTGGAGTGTTTGTGCTTGAATTTTCCCCGCTTTCTGGCCAGAGACCGCAAATCCGGCCTGAAAATGGACTTCAATATGCTTGTGCAGCAAGCCCAGAGGCTGACGAATGAGGTGCAGAGCGCGGAGGACATCCCACAGATGGACAGGACGCTGCCGCAAGTCCTCATGGCAGCCCAGGAGCTCCACTCGCGGGTCACGCAGTCCGAAGTGGGCTCTCAGGACGCCCAGGCGTGAGTTGTGATGCCGTACAGAGTGTCTTGACAGTGTGAAGATGAGGATTTTGTGGCTGTTTTGCAGGCACATCATGCTGGGCTCGAAGGGCATTGATTTGCCGAAGATCACACAGAAACTTGAGACGCTGAGTTCCCGGAAGACATTCGAGCCATTGGATCCCATCGCTGACACTGACATCCAGAGCTTCCTGCGGAATGAGAAGGAGAACGCGATTCTCTCTGTCATCGAGGAGGTTCACAAGGAGGTGAGAATCTCTTCGGTGTGTGTTTCTGGATGGAATTTAGTGCTTTCCTCTTCCTTTCCGACAGACTTACAAGAGCGCCCAGCAGCAGAAGTGGGATCACATCGTGTCGGACTGGCGGGAGGAGAAGGTGAAGCTGATGAACGCTCTGGTGGGCTCGTCACAGGGCTGGATAGAGATCCAGAAGGGTCCTGAGCAGACGATTCTCAACGAGACTTCCGTCACGGGACGCTCGTGTCTGGGCAGTCAGGAGATGGCGTACGCCAGGGAGGTTCTGGACTACAATCGCGTGGTGATCGAGGGCGTGCTGCGACCGAATCTCGTGCAGAAGTTCGCCCAAGTGTCGGAGGAGTTCAACGACGCCAAGATCACGGAAATGTGGGAGATTGTGAAGTACATGGTGAACGTGATGCCGTCGGCCAGGAGTCAGGATCCGCTGCGACAGCGCCAGCACAGCGGGCAGCTGATCCAGCAGGCGAAGAAGTATCTGGAGAATCGCTACAAAGTCTACATGACGACAGTCGTGTCGGATCATCTGCGCGAGGCGCAATTGGGCGGAATTCCCAACACCTTCAGCCTCGTGAGCGCCTTCGTGCGCCTCAGGTTCGGCGACATGGACAATCTCAACGCCATCGGGCTCCAGGACGGGAAGATCGAGGGCAAACCGATCTGGCCGATGGTTTTCTACTGTCTGCGCTGCGGCGACATTCAGGCGGCGCTCAAGTGTCTGGAATTCATCAGTCCGGGCCACGAGGATGTGATTCAGGTGCTGGAGGAGAAGCTGCGCAAGCCCGACCAGAGGATCAACTCGAAGCTGGAGCAGCAGATCAAGATGCAGTACAAGAGACAGATCAGAAACGCCACGGATCCCTTCAAGCGCGTGGTTTACTGCATTGTGGCCTCGTGTGACATTCACGAGCAGCATCCGGACATCGCCAAGACGTCAGATGACTTCCTCTGGGTTCAGCTGTCGCTCATCCAGGCAGAGGCGGAGGCCAATCAGGAGATTCTCACCTACGCTGGCCTGCAAACGATGATTCTCGAGCAGTACGGCGAGAAGCACTTCAACGCCCACGAACAGCCGCATCTGTACTTCCAAGTGCTGGCGCTGACCGGGCAGTTTGAGGTGGCCATTGAGTTCCTGTCCAGATTCGAGCGCTTCCGCGCGCACGCCGTCCACATCGCCCTGGCGCTGAATGAGCTGGGAATGCTGGGAGGCTCGCGAGATGTCCGTCAGCCGCTGCTCTCCGTGGATTCGGACGATCCGGCGCCGCTGCGCCGCCTGAATCTGGCACGCCTGGTCATGCTGTACGTGAAGAAGTTCGAGATCACCGATCCCGCCGAGGCCATTCAGTACTTCTTCTTCCTGCGCAATCTGCTGGACGCCGAGGGCAGGAATCTCTTCCTGCTCAGCATCACCGACTTGGCGATGGAGTGTGGCGAGTATGACTTGATCTTCGGCAAGATCCAGGTGAATGGGATGCGCTCGCGCGGTCTGATAGATCAGTTCGAGTCGATGCAGGTGGATCCGAGGGCGGCGTGTCAGATGGTGGCGGATGAGCTGGTGAAGAAGGGTGTCTTCGAGAGTGCCATCAAGATGTACGACTTGGCGGAGAATCACGAGCAAGTGCTCAATTACACTTCGGTGTTGCTCAGTCAGGTGGTGAATCAGCCCAACAAGCGAGGCTCCCTGCGCGAGAGGATTCAAGTGGTGGCCAGAGAGATCAAGGAGCGCTATGACATCGATGAGATCAAGTGTGATCCCAAGATCTTGTCCACATTCGTCATTCTCTACGATCTGCTCAAGTTCTTCGATGAGTATCACGAGAAGAAGCATCAGTTGGCACTCGAGACGCTGGCCAGGATCAATCTCGTGCCCTTCACCATGGCGGATCTGGACAATTGCCTGAAGAACTTCAAAGAGTGAGTAACATTTGATGCTTTTGGTGTGGATTTGGGACTCATTTTCGCTCTTTTTCTTTGGCAGATTGCGCGTGGAAGTGTGCAAAGTCTTCCCCAACATTCTCCTGGCCACGATGGACATTCTCTACTCGCAGTATCGCGCGATAAAGAGTAAAACCACCCAGACTTCCTTCCCAGCCACCGGAGAGAATCCCCTGAGCCGACTGCGCGAGCAGGCGAAGGCGCTGACCAGCATGGGCGCCACGATTCCCTACCGAATGCCCGGCGACACCAACAATCAGCTCGTCCAGACGGAGATTCTCATGCACTGAACGCGAGCTGACGCTCTTTATTCCTCATCTTTCTCTCATTTTTACTTTATTATTTGGTTTCCTTTGGAAGTTGCCGGATGGATTAAATAAGTGAATTTGACAAGCGACTTATTTGAATGCCCGAATCCAGATCACTCAGATGATTCTCCTTGTACAGCTTGTAGTCCAGAATGAGTTCCTTGAAGGCGAGAAAGTCCGTGAGAGAGAAGAGAAGCTCGAAGATTTCACCGTCCAATTGTGTCTTTCGCTTGCTCAACTCCTCGCTGAATCTCTCCATGCTGAAGTTGGGCATTCGCTCCTCCAAATTCCCAACAATGCAGCTCTCCAGGGCATTTGTGTACTGATTGAAGATCTCCGTGTACTCAATTCGGTTCTCCTCGCACTCGTTGAACTCCTTGTAGTACGTCTGCATGAAGTTCTGCACCAATTTCTGCCGGCAGAAGACAATTTTCAGCTTTGTCTGGTGTGGAAATTGAGGGATTTCTCACCTGAAACTCATCGCTGATCACAAAGTCCTCAATATGACCAATTACTGTGTCGAAATAGTCCTCAGATTCCGACGATGCAGACATTTTTCCAGGGGAATCTGGGCGGCCCAGACGTCCTTATTTGTCCCGTTGTTAGGAAACTCCGATGCAAGGGGGAGATAATACAGTCAGAAGTGGTGTACACTTCAGTAGAAGTACTTAAGAGCAGGAAATGTTGAAAAACCTACAATATTCCTTTCCTTAGCGCTTCTTTTTCTGACAAATTGTCCCGTTTCTCTAGAGATTTCCTTCGAATTTAAAGCAAAATGATTCTAAATAATCTTTTTTTCTAGGTTATGTAACGAATTAAGGCCAGATTTAGTGAATAATTCAAAGAAATATCGCCAATCATTGGCAGAATTAGGCGATTTCATGCTAAAAACGATGCTATTTTTCAGATTCAATGTCCAGAAACACTGCAAAATGTGCTAAAGTCAAACATAACCTCAAAAATATTTATTTGAGCCTGGAAAATGGTTACTTAGAAAACTTTTAACGCTATTTTGACTCTGAATTATCAATTTTGAGATGGTTTTGCGAGCTAAAATCTCTGAAAATCTTTCAAAGTAAGTCTTTATAGATCTCTTAGTGATATTTTTGAGGTTAAGAAACTCCATAGAGCTTCAAAATTGGAATACAGTCCGAGAAATCGCCAACAATTGGTAGAATTAAGTTATTTCATGCTGAAAACGTTGTTATTCTTCACCTTCAATGTCTAGAAACACTGCAAAATGTGCTAAAGTCAAATATAACCTCAAAAATATTAAATTTGTGTTAGAAAATGCTTTTTAAAAAAACTTTCTAGGCGATTTTGACTGTGAAGTAGCAATTTTGAGTTCATTGGCAAGTCAAAAAAGATGATTTTGTAATCTAGAAAGCTTGCAAATGGAATTTTTGAAGATCTTTTAGTGATATTTTTGAGGTTATGGTCGGAAAAGATGTCCAAAAATGCGATTTTAGTTGAATTATTGCAGAAATATTGAATGGAAACTTAAGACATTCATCATAATTACCACAAATTCCAGTTTCTAGAAGTGATGTACTGATTTAAGGCACATTATCTCCCCCTTGGTTTGATGCAGGCATCAGAGTTGATATAATTTCCAGATTTTGAAGACGATGACGTTATTTTTCCTCATTTTCCTACAGCTTCTGTTGCTTTTCTGTTGTGTTTCACATTAGATTACGCGATGTTTTCAATTTACAAAGAGTGAATCTTGATAAAAATGAGTCACATTTTGAGCAATTAATCGCGCGCAAGCCTTGAACTCATTTATTGAATTGCTTGAATGCTTCTTCTGACTCACTGAAGTGTTTTCTAGCTGTTCTTCAGCTCTGCTTCCTGTTTTGTTTGGGACGCCGTTGCCTGGGAAATTCTTCTTATGTGTTTTCTCACCCATTTATTTACCTATATTAACTTTCTCAAAGCTACTGTACACAAAAGGAGAAGCCTGTCTTTGGGATACAAAAAGATTAACAGTGAGAGACAGAGCAATAATATCACATGAAGGAATCCAGCTAAGTGACTGAGAATGCATCTTGCGTGCGTGAATTGTCCTAAGAGTGCACTGTTCAGAGTATCTCGACGAATATCAGGCCGAGTCCTGAGCCGAAAGCCAAGCCGATGCCCAGGAATGCGGCCATCATGGACGACGCCACTTCCTTCTCGTGACTGGCGACAATCTTGGGCGCGCACAGCAGCGCAATGTTGGCAATGTAGCCATTCGTGAGCGCAAAGACGCTCATCAGCAGGATGAAGACGATGTCGGAATGCACGATCACGGGCAGATTCTCTCTGGGCTGCGAGTTGCACATGAGGAAGATGGGAATGAACGCCACTCGGATCACCGTGAAAAATGCCACGAGACGCGGACGGTTTTGAGGCTGCAAAAAAGCGTCAGATTAATCTCTCTTATCGACTGAACTTTCTGGCGAATTGCTTCTGAATTGCGCGATGAGCAAATTGCAAGGAGATAAAATTTTCATTGAGGGGTAAAAAATCTCTGATTCACTGAATTAAATTAAGAATTGATGAATTAATTTGATGATTAGTCAGCATTCTGACAAAAAATCTTGTTTTCTGCTGAAAAAAAAGGCATTTGAATTGAGCGAAAGTGAGGAAAGAATGAACCATTTAAGCTGTTCCAGCTGGAATATTAAAGAATATCCAGAATGGATGGAAATATAAGTCAAATAATTATTTATTGAGAAGCTTTTAACTTCCCAAATTAGTCTCTTGGTTTAATTGTGGTATGAAAAAAGGGGAAAAGGCTAAAACAGGGAAATACGTGGAAAAAAATTTGCCACAAGCTGGATTCGAACTTATTAATGCAAATTAGCGAAGGAAAAAGACGCAAAAATGCAATATTACCAGCTTTCCAAGCGACTTTTGCGGAAAACAAGGTAGAAAATTACATTTTACGCTTTAAAAAGAGTTCTTAGGAGAAGATTTAAGCTGAGAATGGACAAAAAAAAAGCGTCAAAAAGAATGTAACGGGAAAAAACTTGCTCTGTCTTTGAGAAAAAGCTATTTCTGGATATTATTTTTAGCGTTAAAAAGAGTTTTGGGCGAATATTAAAGGAAAAATGCTGATTTAAAGCGATAAAGTGAAGGAAAATACTCGAAAAAGGAAAGAGAAGTGAGAAAGAGTTGTGAAAAAAAAGAGAATCGCGTGAGAATTGAACCCGCGACATCACGATTTCTGTGAGAATTTCGCTGGAAATTGTACAATTATTTCTGTCTAGATGATATTTTGTAATTATTTCGAAGATTATTTCAGGAATGGATAGAATGGAAACCATTTTTGTCCAACTTGAGCAACTCCTAAAGTCATAATTTGGAGCTCAAATCTCAATCAGGCACATATTTACCCCTTTATCTGCACTTGAGAGACTTGAGATGATTCATGCTGTTTCTTATGCTGGGAAACTTGACTCAATGCGCGAGTTATCTTATGAGTATTATCACTAAATGTCTCCTCAAATATTGAGATGGGTTTTTCAGCGTGTGTTTGCGGAAAGAGTGGAAGATTTCCACCCCAAAAACTCACCCACTCGAACAGTCCGGCGATGATTCTGCCCAGATAGTCGCCGGAGTTGAAGATCAGGTAATTCACGACGGTGGTGAAGAAGACGTCATTCCACAGGTGTCCGTTGCCCTTGTGCTCGCTGTTCACCAGCACCGTCACGGCCGGATAGACCGAGAGCGTGACGACGAAGACGAACCACTCGGAGAAGCCGTAGAGCCAGATCTTGCGCAGGATGAGGCGGAAGTTGGGCGCCGGCGGCGGCTCGCCCAGCAGCCGCGCCTCGTCCTGCAGGCGCGGCGTGTGCGCCGCGGCGGTGTAGAACTTGAAGAAGAGCGTGCGCGACATGAAGAAGTACGCGGCCAGCGAGATGATCATCACCACGATCGCCACGCTGAAGTACACCAGCGCCGTGGTCTTGGGCGAGGCGCCGAAGGTCAGTGAGATGACCTCGCAGAGGGCGGCGAAGATGCCGCCCAGCGCCTGGCCACTCACCACGGCCGTCATGTATTCGGACGGGAATTGGCCGGCGATGCCAAACAAGCCGCCGGAGAGAATTGCGGCGGCGATATTCATCACAACCACCGTCGTGATGGTGATGCCGAAGAAGGCTCTCTGCCACGCGTCCGTGTCCACCTCCACGAAGGCTGTGGTGAAGATAAAGAGCACGAAGATCACGCCCATGGAGCCCAGCATGCGCAGCCTCAGAGGAATGCGGTGGCTGAGGAAGGCGTTCAGCACCAGGAACACCGTGTTCGGCACAGCCGACGAGACACTCAGGTCCGACGTGAAGGTGCGCTGGATGGGCGTCAGCACGTCCGAGTCATTCCCAGTCACATTCCGGAACTTGAACATCCAATACTGCGGAAGGCACGAAGTCAAATCAACTGATTTCCACACAGCGCGCTTAAACTCACATTCTCAGCCGTTATGAAGAAGTTCCAGGGGAGCAGCGTCGTCATGCCCAGGAGGTAGAAGATCATGTAAATGACGTTGAGACGGTCGCTGGGCTCGTTCTTTGTCTCCGACCTGATCTCGACGTCGCCGTTGGACGCCCGCGCGTCGCCATCCGACTCGGCGAATTCGCTGTCGCTGGGCTGCAGCAGAGGCCGCGAGTTGATGGAGTGGTCCATTATCGGGCAGGAACACACTCGCGGACGCACAAAACGTAAATACTGCCTTTTATCAATGCACCATTCTCTCTTCCAATCTCTCGGGGAACATTTCGTCACAAAGTCAGATGTTACACTGCAAACAAAACCCACAAATCTCAGTGGGGAAAGCGATTCCACGGTTGGTGTCTCGGATAAACGTGTGGAACGCATTTATTTACGCCGATCAGACGCAGAGTTAAACCCACAGAGGGTTAAGGTTCTTATTGATCTGTTACAGTAACGAGAAGCACAGATTGAAATCACTAAAATAAGTAAATCCAAGTAATAATTCATATCGAATTATTTGTAGCATAATTTTTGGAATAAACCCAGATAAAGTGTAAGGGTTGTCAGATTGAGAAAGGTGACGATGAGAAGCAGAAAAAGTGAAATTTAAAGATAAAAGCTGTAAGTTAAGACTATTTGATTTGGAATAAGAGATTAAGTAAATTTCAGTCTATTCGCAGTTTGTCAGAGAATCCGCAGGATCGATTTGATAGAACAGATTAAAATGAGATTAACACAAAAAGATTATAAGTTTTCTAGAAGCGCACGAACTTTTAGAGCAGAAAATCCCACAAATTCCAAAGCCATGACGCAAACAATATATAAACAATAATTGAGCGGTATTTTTTGGTCAAAAATGAGAAAATTGAGAAGTCTTTTGAGGGAAAGAAACGAACTAACCTCAAAACTCCTTTCGCAAACATGCTTAAATTCATTTATTACTTTTACTACATACAAATGATAACTTCAATGGTAAGATATCTTACAAAATGAGTATTTGCGCAAAGATATTGCATTCTCTGATGGTAGCAAAAATCCAATGTACGCTTCAAGGTAATTCACTGACTCTTCAATGTACAAAAGAAGTACTTTAAGAACATTATTTACAGTAAACGCTACGAATATACATTAAGCTGAAGCGCCCTACATGGCAACATCGCAGCATTTGCCCATGGATTCGGTGCTCTGAGATCCTCCGCTTCTGCTTGTGTCGCAATTGGTGCTCTTGGTCTGCTGGTAGACCAGGAAGCTGTTGGCGATGGCACGATCGAGTCCGGTGTACTGGAAGGCCTTCCGGTCAACTCCAGCCTCACTGGTTGCATCTCTGGTTTCGCTCCTGCGCCTTGTGGGCTTGGATTTCTCCGACACGCGACTTCGCAGGGATCTCGTGGACCGCCATCGATAGAGGTTGTCCTGTGAAGATAAGTATTGAGTCTAGGCTTCAGGGTTGCTTGTTAGAGTTGCTCACCATTATCTGTTGGTCAGGTACGAAGTACTGCGGCGCCATGGGCGGATAAGGGATGCCTTGAGGGACGCTGTAGGGATAGATAACAGGAGGCGGAATTGGAGGCTGAAATGATTGGTTCAGATTAGAAAAGAGAATCCTTTTGGGTTCAAATTTAATCTCGAGACTTACAGTCACGCCTGCTGGCACTAGATAAACTGGAGGCGGCCCTTGGATTGACTGGGGATGAAGATTCTCCCTTGCGCTCACACTGTTTGCCTGCAGATAGAGAAGTTGCTTTTATCAGCCTGCGGACTTTGAATTCGTGTCTCTCTGGCAGAGATAAATGCGATAAATGAATATTTGAGGCTTTATCTGCCCACTTACGCTCTGACTCAGAGTCGATATCATGTTGCGATGAAGCATGTTTGGGTAAATGATTGTTCCTCCGTTCCTCGTGGAGCCGGACGAGATGGACTTGATGTAGTCCTCCACTTTCTTCTGTGTCAGCGTGGTGAGGTCTGAGTTCTCGAGGATTACTCCCGGCGAGGGTCTGGAATTTGAATATTGGAACGGGATTAATTTTGTGGAAGCTGATTCGTCGACTGAGCGCCAGGTGGCTCTGAGGGTCTCAGGTGCTGTCAAAATATATATTTTCTTGCTTTGTTGTCACAGTGTTCGGGGAAGTGAGACGAAAAATTGATTGTGGAGTGATTTTAGCGATTCTGACCAATCTCCAGCACTTGGCGGAGTGTCGAGACTCTCGCCTGGCAGTGGGACAATCCATCCAGACACTGGACAGAGGGATTGGGGGATGAAGTAGAGTGTCGCGCAGCAGCATATGCCAAAGGAATCCCAGTGAGAGACCCTTGCGTCCGGAAGAATGTTCAACAGACTGAAGAATCGCGTCCTGACCGTGGTGAGTCCCGAGGTGGCCATGATCCAGGCGCCTCAGGCCATCGATCACCACGGGAAAGTGCACCACCAGGGACAGAGGCTCCCGGACAAATTCACATACGCCCGGCCGCCCTTCCTGCAACTCGCCACGCACGACGAGCTGAAGGCCTCGGCGGACCACAATGTGCGCCCCATCATCGTGCCCAGGGACATCTCCACGCTGCCGTGGAGCACGGGCTACGCGGAGTGCGTGAACAGCGGCAAGTCGGAGTGGAATGAGGATCAGGCGGCGTTCCAGCGCCAGATCCTGTCGCACCCGTCGAAGCAGTTCCCGGATCTGCCCTACACGTACTTCGGCATCTTCGACGGGCACGCGGGCTACGGGGCCGCCCTGGCGGCGGCCAACCAGTTCCACCACATCCTGCACGAGAAGCTGGTGGACGTGCTGGACATGCTGATGCCTCGCCTGCCCGCCGCGGACGCCGTCCTGCCGCACACGCTGCTCTTCCACCGCAGCGTGAGCAAGGACGAGCTGATCATCGGCGCGCTGGAGTCCGCCTTCGCCGAGATGGACGCCGTGCTGGCGGAGGACAGAGACAAGTACCGCAACGCCGGCGGCTGCACGGCTCTGGCGGCGCTCTTCATCTTCGGCAAGATGTTTGTGGCCAATGCGGGAGATTCGCGGGCAGTGCTGTGCCAGAGGGTGTCCACGGATCTCCTGAAGGCGCAAATAGTGCCGCACGAGCTCAAGAGCCCGGCAGAGACTGGCGAGGAGGACAAGACCTTCCGCATCTTTCCCATTCCCTTCTCGCACGACCACACGCCGGACACGGAGAAGGCGCGCCTCATGTCCACGGCCAGGATCAATCCGGCCTTCATGGGCGGCGAGTACATCGCCATGGAGTACGCGAAGAAGCCCATGACGAAGGATCTGGGCACGCGCATCCTGTACCGCCAGGGCACAATGAAGGGCTGGACGTACAAGACGCTCACGCGCGAGGACCTGAAGATGCCCATCGTCACGGGCGAGGGCAAGAGGAGCCGGCTGCTGGGCACGATCGGCGTGACGCGGGGCTTCGGCGATCACGACTTGAGGGCCATCGGCAGCAATCAGCCCATCAAGCCCTTCCTCTCGCCGCATCCCGAGGTCACGTACCGCGACCTGACCAAGGTGATCTCCATTCCGGGCGACGACAACGAGGACGGCGACTACGGCGTGCTCGTGATGGCCACGGACGGGCTGTGGGACGTGGCGGACAGCGAGGCGGTGGCCAGGACGGTGTTCCAGACGCTCAGCAAGTACCCCACGGAGAAGCATCGGTACACGATGGTGGCGCAGGAGCTGGTGGCCAAGTCGCGCGGCCGCGTGAACGAGTCCGGCCACTGGCGCCTGGCGGACAGCAAGGCGGCCGCCACGGTGGACGACATCTCTGTCATCGTCATCCCCGTCTACCAGTATTACGTGGAGTTTCTGGAGTGGGAGAAGGCGTGCTTCGAGCGCGAGCGCGCGCAGGAGGCGAAGATCACGCTCACGGACTCCGACACGGAGGAGAGCAGCAACAAGATCTCCACCACGTCGGATGATGTGGACGTGAATGGTGCGTGCGACGAGGAGGCGCCCGTGAATGGGCAGGACAAGCTGGACGCCTTCGTGGAGGAGGCCATCGAGGCGCAATCATCCACGTGAGACGCTTGCTAGGCAACTTCTCGCGTCCTCTTCTCATCACCAGCAGCATTTCTTCTCCTTTCCCTCCCCCGGAAAATGTGATTGTAAATCGATAGCGATCTTAACTTATTGGCACCTTTTTCCCGTTTCTCGCGACGACGCGCGCGCGCGCGCGCGCAGATCCATGGCAGAAAGGCACAAGAAATGTGAGTGATTTCCCGTCCGGGAAGTGACTGAGTCATTTTGATCATTTTAGGTGAAAATTCTATTATTAACATTTGTTAGAGAGCTTTTTTAGCAGATGATTAAGTGTGTAACGATATTTATTTGTTAGGTTTCCTCTTCTTTTTTAAGTGTGTTTTTTTGACTTGGATCTGCACTGGGCAGAATTGATAAGGAAGGAGTTTAACAGTAGCGATAATAATGATATTGGCACACGCACGTGAGGTGAAAAAAAAAAATTATGTGAAATGCAAAGAGAATTACGAACAATAAGAGACATTCCGAGAATTTTTTTTTCGTCAGGAAGAAAGTGGACAACACTGAAGAATTCCAAGACCCTCTCGAAATCAGCCTCATTTCAAGGTCTTTCGCATATGTAAAATGTTTCAGTCTTTAGGCGCAAAAGATTAGTGAGAATGGCTCTAGCAAATAGGGAGTAAAAATATTTAAGAGAGAGAAAATAGCAGTGAAAGATGTAAAATGCACTATTTAACTGTAGCGGTGAAGTTATAAATGAACTCACGCAAATTGCCGTCGACACTCACCTGAGACAGAGTTTGAGGGCGGAATAGTACACGGAAGCGGCGCTGACGAGGAAATGCAGCGCCAGAGCGAACAGCAGTCCGGATCCCGCGCTCACGGCATTCGAGGTGGCCTGGAGCGAGAGAGAAGGACAGAGTTAGATGGGCTTCAGACGAGGAGAGATCATGTAAAGACACAAGTTATAGTCAGAGAGAATAATAAACTTTCTGGATCTATATTTTAATCAAAAGAAGTCGTTTTTTTTCTAATTCAATTTTACAAGGGGTGAATAAGTGTTTTTCGCAGAGAATCTTGAGGGATAATAAGTGTTTCCACATTCATTCTATCGTGATGATTGATATTTTTCTAAGAATCCACTTCAAAACGCATTTTTGGACATCTTTTTCGACCATAACCTCAAAATCTCACTATAAGAAATCTTCAAAATTTCCGTTTGGAAGCTTTCTAGATCACAAAATCATCTCTTTTTATTTTCCAATGAACTCAAAACTGCAGAGTTAGAGTCAAAAATGTCTAAGAAGTTATTTACAGGAACATTTCCCAGCCCAAATGACTCTTTTTGAGGTTATGATCGGGTTTCTTGGCATCAAAGGGTCAGAATCGTCAGAAAATGCTTAATTCCACTAATAATTAGCAATGTTTTCGATCTGAGCATAAGAATTGATGTTCTAGAATGCGAATTATTCACTAAATCTGTCCATGATTCGTTACATAACCTAGAAAAGAGATTATTAAGATCATTTGAAATTGTTTCTGTGTGAAAATCAAAGATAATCCCAAGAATTTGAACAATTTGGCAGTGAAATAAGCACTCAGGAAAGGAATATTGCAAGCTTTTAATCACTTCCACTTCCATTATCTCCCCCTTGGAATTAATTTGAAGATTTCTGCCTAAAAAACCGGTAGTTATTCACCCCTCAGATATGAATCGCTTGCGCAATTATTTGCCACAGATTTTAGCCATAAATTCAAATCAAATGCAAACAGCGCTTTTATGACCTGTTAAGCGCTCTTGATGACCTCTGAGATTGCTTCTCACCTGCTGCTGTGAGTCCCTCACCACGCCGATCCCCGTGAAAGCCATCGCCAGCGTGCCGGAGGCCACGCAGATCAGACTGGCGGCCAGGAATCCCGTCCTGGCGCGCTGTCCCAGGACGCCAAAGGCGCCGGCGACGGCGGCGATCGCCGCTGCCCAGAGCCCGGAGCCGCAGGAGGAGAGTGAGGCGTCGCGGGCGATCAGGAGGCCGCCGAGGGCGGACAAGGCGACACTGAGGATGAGCTGCGTGATGCCCAGAATCACTCCGGCGGACACTTGCTGCTTCTCCGCGTCCTTCGTGGCCACCAGCTCAGCCATCTTCCGCAGATGACCCTCGCTCTCCTGCGCCTTCTCCTGCACCTGCGCGTCCTTCTTCTCGGGCGACGCCAGCAGATCCGGCGCCGAGTACAAGTGGCTGGACTTGTTGTCTGTCGAGATGATGGAGGCTTGGGAGGAATGCGCCAAACTGCCGCGTCGCTCGTGATTTGTACTGTTCTGCTCCGGGAAGATTGGCGCCGGTTCTGTGGGATGCGGCACGACCGTCTCCACGGTCATCTTGGCCGTCAGCATGTCCTTCGGCTCCACATCCATGTCGATCTTCACGCCAGCCGGAATTGGCTCCTCCATTGCGACTTTCGATGCTCTGCGAAAGTCAAAAAAAAAAATCTTAATGTTCTTTAATTGCTTCAAATATGTCTAACAGTAAAATCCGTGGAAACATAAATTAACTTTCAAATGCACTTAGAGACTTCTTGCGCGGAGGGTCAAAGAGAGCTCTTCTTTCAATATAATCTCTCGCTCTCGCGATGTTTAATCCTCCTATTTAATCAAGATTTGTCCGTTAGATTGAGAAGAAAATACATCGCAATGAAATGGAATTCTCAAAGTGTGATTAATTGATCGGCAAAGTGAATTTACTTTCCAAGATCGTGAAACCATCGCTCGAGGGTTCATGAACTTTCGAGAAAAGAAACACCCGTAAATCCGTAATGATTCTTAATTATTGGGAATTTCACTTGCAAATTGCGAAGAGGCTTAAAATAGCGCCCCAAAAAAATTCATTTGAACTGCACTTGATTGATAAACTTCAACCCACTTCCTCACAATTTTCTTATCAGGCTGTTAGATGTTTTCCTCATCCAGCATTAACCCAAATGCTGGGACACTTTATCGCTGCATTGTTGGGGAATTTATGCACATTTTCCCACTAACTTTATCAACTGCGTTGCATCGCGGAAGAGCGGTCAATCTTCGCCTCAATTCTTCCCGCCATTTCTAAACTTGGTCAAGGTTTTTCTTCTCGCGCGATCTATTTCTCCACACTTTCCCTCAGCGATCTTTACCAGTATCGCTGGTACTTTTTGCCCTCTGGCTCTCTCAAAGACATTTTAACTTTGACTCAATGACAAATTGGCCATTCATTTGAGGAAAACATCGAAAATACGAATGACTCAAAGTGCCTCTTTTTTGCTCGTAAAGGTTTTCGCTTTATTCAATGCAAGAAACTCCGCAGCTGATGAATAAATAATTGTGAAAAATATTTGAGAGGTGTTGATGTTGTTGCCGTTCTTTTTCTCTCATCCAATTAATTTCCAATTATGCGTCTCTCTTGGCCACAGAGAGAGAGCCAAAGATGAGGAATTTTTCTTTTACCTGGTTTGTGAAAAATCAATGGAAAACCTTCCTCATTATAACTTCAGACGCGTCTAATTAGTTTGATGATTAGTTGAGGAGAGGAAGAGAGAATTGGCTCAGAATTTAGGCAGGTTTTATTGTGTTGTTTTTTTCTCATCAAAACACCCAAGAAAACACCTGAGATTTCGAGCTTCTTTTTGGCAAAAGTCGAAGTGTGAATGGCTTGAAAAAACAACATCTTTCTCAACAGTTCTTTTTTCGGGTAATATTTTAATTTTCTCTCACTTCTCTTATGTTTTTGCGCATTGAATAACATTTGATTGAAAAGCGCTCACAGACTTTACAAGAGTGTGTTGAGAGAAAAAAAAAGAAGTGATTGGATGTTGTGAAACCTTTGAAACTGTCTTTAGCCAGAGAGAAAGAGAATTTTCTCGGCTTGAGGAAAAGCAACACGAGAAAATTCAGAGGCGATTTCGAGGCCTTTCGAGACACTCCTTTTGATATTCAGCGTGATTGATTGGTTGACGCAGGAAATTATTCGCTAAATAATGTGATTTTAATTAATATTAAAATCAAGTCTTTGTGAGGTGTGTTGAAAAGAATGCAGATTAGCTGATCGAAAACTAATTGAAGTCATGTAATAATTGCCGAAAGAATACGTGAGCGTTGAAATCAAGGGGCAGATATTATGGCCAGAAGTGGTGTACAGCTTTGTGGAAGTGTTGGGAATTGGAAGTGGTGAAATATTTGGAATATTTGCATAGCAAAAGCTTCAGTTTCATCAAATTGAGGCATTTTCTATACAATTTTACTGCTTTTCTAGGTTATGTGATTGATTTAAGACAGATTCTGTCGATTAATTAACACTCAAAGTCATTAAATTTGTGGTTAAGCTGGAATTATTTCACTTTTTCTTCATATAATTGAACATTTTTTATCGAAAAACACTTGAAATTCACTGAGAAAAAGCTTCAAAGTCAATCATAACCTCAAAAAATCCAATTTCATTCTAGAAAAATGTTTCTTTCTTTAGTAATTCTCGTGGTTTTTGGCTTAAAAGTGATAAATTCAACCTCATTAGATTAAAAAAGATCTTAATTAGCTCAAAAAGAGTTTGGTCAGAATTTTTCAAAGCATTTTCTGAAGACAAACAGAAGAAAAACAGTTGAAGGACTCTAAAAAATCAATGAAAAATGCCTTTAAACACATTCGGAAGTGTCTGAAGTTCCTGAAGATTCTTGACAGAGGCTAAGAAAATACAGATTTCAGGCATATTATCTCCCCCTTGATTGAAATGCAGCAATTGGAGATTGTGTGTGGTTTTAATGAAAAATCCCTTCTAATTTCTCGATCAACATTTTCAAATTCAGGGCAACATTTCCACGATGAGAGCCGCCATCAAATGCACTCTGAAGAGTTTGTGATTTAGTGAGAAATTCCATCTCATTTGATGGTTGGAGTATGGAAAAGACAACAATTTACATGCAATCGAAATAAACTTTCAAAGCGATAGAAAATACGAGCGTCTCTCAAAAGGGAAAATTTTAATGAGAAGCTGATCATTAATGCCACGAAAAGAAATGTTGAGAGACAAGCCACAAGATCACAGAAAAATCTATTGAGCAACGCCAGTTTTGTCATTCAATCTTGTTGGTGTGTGCAATTAAGAAAAAGAGTTAATTATGAGGATATATTTTATCTTGCCAGGAGGCCAATGGACTGTCTTTGTGGTGCAACTATTGAACTGCGAGCGCGCGCGGTTGAGATTTCAATTCAATGATAGTGCAAAATTGAAAGAATTCTGCACGGTTCGGCTGTGTTTTTTGCATGATGAGGAGAGAGAAGAAATATAAGAGTTACTTGTGGCTGTGCTTGAAACTCGCGCTCGGTGAAAATCACTCTTTTCCCACCCATTGGGAAGGTGAGAAAAAAAAAATGAGAAATTGACCCAATATTGACGCTCTGTACTCACTTTCGATCTCTCGGATCTTTGCTTCACTTCTGCGCGTGTCTTCCGCAGTCAATTAGATCGATTGCACTCGAGTTTTTCGTGGCTGCACTCAAATGCTTCCTGTGCTCACCGATAATCCAACTCTTGGCCATCAATTAGTGCATAACTTGAGCAGAGAAATATTCACTGGTTTTCCACAAAATTCCTCAGGCGAACGCAATCTCACAAATCAGTCTCCGCCCGACTTGAGATTTATCGCACACACTTTGGCTGGCGAGGGCCTTTCGCGGAATGCCAACATGTGTCGCCCCTTGTCCTCTCTTGCAAAATTCCTCCGCCACACAGATGAATTAACTCCCGTGAATTGATGGAAGAAAATAACAGAGAGACTCTCTCACATTAGATTTAGCACAAATTCATGCGCTGAGACACACTTTTTTTCCCACACCGCGCAAGAAGGCGAGCGCGACACTGTTGAGTCACAAACACTTGAGAAGATCACCCGAAAGAATGGCAATTCTCTGGTCACCACAGCACATGAGAAACTTCCCGCTGAAAGAAGTCGATGGCAACCGCCTCGTGTTGCTGCCAAACGCGCACTGGCGCAGCCAGATCACGCCGAGAGCCTCTCAACCTCTGCAGAAAAAACACCTCCAAGTGGCCGCGCGCGCGCGCTCAGGTGAAAACCCAACTCGCGGGAATTGAGAGCGACGCGATGAAAGAGAAATGCGCCAGCGATCTTTGGCATACAATTGCTGCAGCGACGGCGCTGCATCTTCCTGCAGATGCCGATGAATCCTCTGAAGAAAGTGCTTTCTTCGCGCGCGGCGACAAGCGGCGTTAGAAATCAAGGGAAAGTGAACCTATTGATTTGCGTATTAATGAACAATGCCTGGGCTGAGAACCTGACTTTGAGAGGATTATGACGATTGGATTAGGAAAGGAAAGTTAAGAGGTGTGTAAAATGCGCTGACCTGGAAGTGCTTAAAGGGCTTTGAAGACTTTGATTTGAGACATTTTGAGGGCGACAAAGTCACAAAACACAGATTATTTTCATTTTATTCTCACTAGAAATTGAGGTTTTTGACGTTCAATTGCGCTCCAAACTCTCTTGCTGGAATAAGAGGTCCTTCTGGTTATTTACCTGATAAAATGACCTTTCTTGCGCAGTCAAAAAATCTCCGTATGATCATCACTTGATATTCACTTAATCAAATTTTGATATTAAACTCGTATAAAGTCCAGATAAGAAATGAAAATGTAAAGGATAATTATCCTGAAGACATGTCGGATTAATTTAAACCACTTTAAGAGCCCAAAAGAAATGTTCTGGACAAATAATCAAAGATTGCTGAGACGGCGTTATATAAAATCTCGGGTTGTTTTCTGCTTTAGCTCAGTTTTGGTATCATAAAGGGATTAAGGATTAGGCCGAATGTCTTCAAACTTGGTATGATAATTGCTTATTAATGAGGGAAGATTGGTGGAAAATTTCAAACCACTAGCTTCACGGGGCGCTATTTAAAATCTCGACACTGTAAATACGGTAAATTTACAAACTAACTCAGTATTTCATTGACATTTTCTATTCTTACGCACAAAATCGCATTAAACTTACCAAATTGTTGTCTATAAAAAAGCACGCAAACAATTTAATATGCAGAAAATGCTGAAAAGACTGAAATAATTGCTAATTCTCATGGGAATGTTGAGTTAAAAGTGCGATTTCGGAAACAGGAAGTCAGAGTGCAGCGAATGCAGAGGGAAATTGAGGTGTACCGCGAAGCCTTCTCGAGCCACGCAACCTTGTTTAGGTATTCAAAGACGCACACTTGTTGTCACCTTTGAGGCGGAAACAGAGGATTTGCCTTTTTTTCCTACCATCCATGAGTCACAGCTGAAAAATGCTGAAGAATTGAATATGTTGTTATTTATTCACGTGTCGTTTATCGTATAAATTTCTCCTCTTGAGCGCTTCTCTTTCTCTCGTCTTCTTCCTGCAACACTGATAGCGACTTTATTGATCGCCTTTCCTTCACACAAACTGCTGCGACTCGATCTGCAATGGTAAAATATGTGCGGAATGGTTAGATTGTCACGATTTAGCCCATAAATATTGTGTCGCGATCTTTTCCTGGTTTGACACCGCCTAAGCGCGCGCATGGAATTGTGTTACTCAACAGTCTTTAATTTGTGCACAAAAACATCTCTCACTTATGATGACCATTTTGCGCGCTCTGCCTTCGCCAAAAAGGTGCATTTAAGACATCAGCCAGCCAACAGCATAAAGTCGACGCACATAAACCTGTATTTCATGGCATCAAATCGATTTTGAGAGAAAGCACTTTGCAAAAGAAAGTGGTTTGATCATTTTTTTTTCGTCTTCTTCAGTCCTCTATGTGGTTTAACTTCTTTCACTGCCAAACACACAGGTTTTTTTTCTTTCTTCTTCTGTATTCCTCGGCGTCTCATTCATATCTTTGCCGCAATTTACATTATTCATATCCAACCGTGTCTGTGTGTGTGTGTTTTATATAAAAACCACTCTGTGCAATAAATAAATTATAGGAATTGACGCTCTTCTGCTCTTTTTCCCCGCCAAAAAAAGAAAATTTTCTCACTCTCTCTCTGTCTAACCGTTGAAGATACGCTGATGGAGGGAAAACAACAATGAGACGATAGACAATATCGACGGTTGCCTCGAAAACTATCAAATCAAAAGTCAAAATCGCAAATTTTCTGCAGAACGAGTTCAAAATTTAGCGTTAAAAAAGCTATGAAATTTGCCAAAATTACCTTAAAATGCCTTTAAATCGTCCGTTAAAGTGCAAATATTGCTCTTTATTTTTTATTTTGTAAATATTTCAATTGATTTTTTTGGTATTTATTGGAATTTTAGATTAAAATATAGCAAAATTAATAGAAAATCTGTAAATATTACTTTGCAAAATCGATTTTTATAGTTTTCGGGTCGATTTTATTGAAATCAGTTCTAAAAAATCAACTTTTCTTTAATGTTTGCAAGTGAAAAAATTGAAAAGATATGAGAAATATTCATTCAAAGTCTAAAAAATATTTTAGGATCATTCTAAAAATCTTTAACTGCAATTTTTGAGACATTTTTCTTAGCGTAAACAATAAAAATCCGATTTTTCATTCAGAAAACATGACAAATTTTCTTTTCATTTGTGCTTTTAGACGAAAACTATCGACTTTTGATAGTTTTCGATTCACCCGTCGAAGATGCTAATAGGAAATATCAAATATTTTCTATTTTTAACCCATAACTTCACTTTGTCGGAGTGAAATTCCAATTCTATCATCGTGAAATTGAACGTGAATGGCGTTCAAATATTTTGTGGACAATAAATTTATATTTTTTGGACGCACTTTTGTGTGCTTGAGAGGGAAACTTATGAAAATGGAAAGTTGAACCAAAGAGACAATTTGTCACTTCATGGAAAACAATTTCATATCCACAAATAGAGATTAATTGCACTTAATGCCAATCAAAGTTGCCCAATTTGTTCACTTTTGCACTCATAATTTCTCCACCGTTTAATACACCGCTTCAAGTGTTCCGCGACTCTTAATTGTCTTATTTCTAATTCCTCGCATTAACCAGTCGATTGACTGTATGATGAAATTGCGCCATTGCAGCAATTAAGCCAACAAAACACTGAAAAACTCAGAGTGAAGCATTTCGATGGAGGAAGAGAAATATCTCTATTGCTGGTGATTAAAATTGATTTGTATAGAGAGAAATTTGAGCCACACGATGAAGAAGCACAAATTACAAGAGAATTCTTTATTGCGCATGTAAAACGCGCGCTGGAAAACGGTAAAAATGTCTCCAGACGTGAATTTTTATCATTATCTCAATCAATTTCTTTGCGTGTCACTGACGATGTAGCTCAAAGAATATTCTTCCCACATGAGAGAATCAGAGGCGTCGAGTTGGAGTCTTCGCACTCCACAGAGTTGGTGGAGAGAAGCATTAGATTGAGTGATGCAAGAGTGCTGAAGAAAAGCCGCCAACGATTAACAATAGATTCAATAGATTAATCAATCTATTTTCAGAACATTCAAGGCTTTTAAACCCTTTCAAGATGTTTGGTTTTCACTCATATTTTGCCTTCCCTTTTGACTGTGCAAATGCAATTGTGCAGCAGAAGATGATAAACTGGAAGTGAATCAGTTTTCGGAGAAATTCTCTCAACAACCAAAGGGTCAAATAGGTCAAATAAGACCCAAAATTACTCAGTATCAAACATCAACAGCACTTTTCATGTGACCAAAAGTCTCAAAGTGCGGATCAAGAGAAAAGAAAGTGTTTTTCTTGGGGTTAGAAGTTAAATACTACTGAAATATCGAGGTTTACTGTCTAATTTTACAAGAAAAATTGCCAACTAAACGCATTTTCCTTACATTTAAGATGCTGCTGCTGCCGATTGACCATCGAGGAAGTCCAACAAGGAAGAAGAACGTCAGGACGCATTTATATACAGCATTCTTGGACAGATTTTCGCGCTGATTGCTTCATTTCGTGGCTTTTCTGGCGAGCAAAAACCACTTCAAGCACATTTGAGGCTTCAAAGAAGCGCTTTAGACATCCAAGAACTTCACAGACGCCTATTCCTAACCAAGGGGGAGATAATACGGCTAAACAATGTACTCCACTTCTTGTCACTCCCACAATTTCTTCATCCGAACTTCAGCAGCGCTGAAAACATGGGTTTTCCCTTTTTTCTTCACATTTTTCTGAAGTTCATAGATTTTTTAACAGACTAAATTGTCATAACCTCAAATTTAGAAGGTCTTTGTCCCAAAAGAGAGATAATTTTTACTCTTTTACTCAGAAAACTTACGAAGAAACAGATTTCAAACATATTTGAAGTTTTTAGTGGACATTTTGATGTGATTCAATTACCAAAATCACTCTTTTGGAAGCATTTTGAAACATAACCTAAAAATCACCTTGATATATAAATTTTTTAAAGCAACACTGAGAAATATCAATCTGTTATTAATGGACAATAAGCTGACATTTTCTATTTTAGAGTAGAAAATCAATCAAACAGCTCTTAAAATAGACAATTTTGTATCTTGAATCAATATTTTTGAGGTTAATTAACACAGTTTTACATTGAAAACTTGTAAAGAAATGTAAATTATACCAGTTTAGACGCAAAAATGAATGATTTTGTAGGTTATTTAGTGGCAAAATTTATTTTAAATTACTAACATAACCTAGAAAGATGTGAAGAAGAATTCTTTTTCTCTTTTTACTGAGTAGTACACTACTTCTGACCATATTATCTCCCCTTATTCCTGACCAAACGGCGCTTCAGAGATCATCTTCGCATCCCTGGACAATGAAAATGGCAGCAATGAAGCTCGTCAAAGTGATTACGACGCCCAAAACGGGACGCAAAGGATGCGAATCATTATCAAATATATTTATATATCATGTTCTTGAGACTTACAGAGGATCTGGGCAGAATTTTTGCCTTCATCCAATTCTGACAAGCTTCAAAATATCACAAGAGGGCAATATTTGGCGCATAATTGAGAGCAGTGAAGACTTTTCAACCAGAGATTCAACATTCCAGGCTTCTTCAATGCATTTCAGTCACACTTCTGCCACCAAACAATACTTTGTTGTCATCTTCTGTGTGAAGAATCTGTGCCTCGTCGGTGGATTTGGGTCTGATCGAAAGCGTGGTGGCCGTAAAAATGCCAGAGTGAAGAGTGCGCGCGAAATTTTACACCCACATTAATCTATGGCAGAGATCATGCGCATGAACGGCGCAAACCACAAATCAGCCGCAATAGTGCGAGTTGTGGATTTTTGTTGTTGAATTTTAAAGTCAAGGATGACCACATTGCTGGCATAGCGAGTCGCGCACAGAGATTGAGTCGCGCAATCTGGTCACGATTGGTGTTGGCGACAAGCATTGCGCTAATTGATAATTGATAAGTGTAAAATGCGGAGAAATTCTCTCTTGTCTTTTTGTTTTCCTCAAAGTCCACTTCTTGTCTTGCACACGCAAAATCATTAAAAAAAACTTCATTGTGTTCGCGACTGCGTTGGAATTTTACTTCCGTACGCGACTGGAAATTAAATAATATAGCTAAACCGGGACTACTTTTCTGCCCATATTCTTTTGTCTACGCGCCACTTCTTTAGCCCATTAGGCTTGCCATTGACTTCTATCTTAATGGGCCACATTAATGGCCGCGCACAGTCTCTTCTCGCTCATCACGGCGCGAATCTTCCCAACTTCTTCTTCCATCTCGGACCAACACTAATTGCCATGTAAGCGATGAGATGCATTGCAAAATGCCTTTAAGTGATTGCTCGCGCGCTATTTTTTCCTGCATTTGCCATCATCAGCCAAACACTCTATCGTGACTTTGTGCAGTTGCGCAAATGCGAAAGGGTTTTGCGCGCGCGCGTCTCTTGGACAAACATTGTTGGAGGTTTTTCTAGCCTCATATTTGCATGCTTTGCATGTTAACGTTGGTCATCTTCTGTGCTCCTCCCGATCTTGGCGCAATCACAATCATGTCGAAAGACTCTTCGGATGATAAATGATGATGATAAATTGGTGGGGAAGAGAGAGAGACGTGTATTGACAAATTAGCAGACTATTCAATTAACAATGGAAAAATCTCTGAGATTCTAGGGCGAACGCAGAGGCAAAACACTGCACGAAGTTTGCGCTCTCCAATGTGTGGTGGAAAACCACAAATATATTGCAGTAGAAAAAAGTGATGCAAAGTGCGGCCAAGGAGGAAATATAGGTCAGAGGCACTCTTGGAAACAAACAAGAGTGATATAATTCTCTGATGTGAGACACTTTTTTTTCCCAGATATTACGCTATAACATCTCATTTTGCCCAGCAAGATATTTTTGGATGATACACCATTTTTGTCAGCCAAAGTGTGTGAACACCAAAGCATTGTTGGCAAAATGCATAATACAGAAAAAGCACCCACGACGAAGAGAGAAAGAGAGACTTTTGTATGGATCCAGAGCACTTGTGTGTGCTCATGAATTCACGACGTGCTCGCATTAATATTAAATAGAAATTCTATAAATCACAATTTTAATTGCATATTTAATTGCATAATGCCCTGTGTGTTCTTTCGCTCGGCGCGCTCAGCATCGTGATTAATTTTGTGTCTGGAGGTTCTTTTCTGAATTTTTGTTTCTGCACTCTTTATAGGCCAGGCAACTCTTTACCGGTAGAAAAACTCTCCGCGTTTCTCTAATGCTTTGCCCAGCGAGCAAAGTTGCGATTGATAGAGCTGATTTTTGTGCTATTTTCCGCTCAAATTTTAGCCATTCGCTTGATGCATTAGCGAACGTAGCGGCGACCAGTCAAAGTATTGATGCGCACTTGAATGCATAGATGTCGCATCATGTAAATCCATGACATTTCAATCATATACTTCGGGATTAAAACACTCAAGCGAATTTTATAAAGAGCGCCTTGCAAATCCCTTCAAAATGAGAGGGTTTTTATATGGCACGGGAAACCAGATGAAGGGAAGGCTATGGAAGTTGGACTTCCTGATTTCTAGCTGTAAGCGCCTGCAAAACACCAAGCTCTGCCCAATTGGTATCCCTGTAAAAATTGTGGTGGGAATGCCACTGTCATGGCGGCCTTCTCCTCCTGACGAGAATCCCGCTGTTAGAATTATTTGACATTATTTGCATTAGGAACATGGGACGCAGCGAGATGGGGCGGCAGAGGGCGTTGGTTACATATCGCCAACCTCTTATTGTATTTGGAACTTCATTGCTAAGTTTTTATCAGAAAAAATCACAAAATTGAGCACAATATTTAGCGAAAAATAGCAGAAAATTCTGAAAATTTTTGAAAATTGATGAAAAATTAGCTGATCGTAGCATAAAAAGCTTAGCACTTTTTGTTCGAGTACTGCTCAAATTTTAGCTCAGTAATTTTAGCACTTTTTAGCTAAATTAACTGCTTTTTCGGCTCGCTGGGTGGTTTTGTGGCAAATTGTGGCAATTCGACATTCGTGTGGTTGAGCTTGAAGAGGCAATTTCTATTCTCTGAATGTCTGTGCGCGCTTCCAATATTGAGACAACACAGAGGGAAAGAGAGAAAGACGTTGATAACCGTTTGGGTAAACAGTGGCACAGATTAATATGCATAAGTATACAAAACAAGAGACCTGCAAATACCCAGTTTTCCTTCCAAACCAACCTTTTCAGGTCAGTGGGCAATTGACTCCATTATTTTCACTGATTTTCACTCACCTTCTCGTACTCGAGGTTATTGATGACTCCCGAGTGGACGCCGATGGCGCCCAAATTGATCCAGTGACCGCCAAAGGGTTGTCCTCGAACGCGCACGCCGATGTCCACGATGTGCGCCACAATGGACGAGTCGAAGCTCAAGTAGTAGAATCTGCAAGAAGCGCGCTCAGTTGAAGCTGGGAATGTCTCTCGCCGGAACGATGGCTCAAATCTCACCTGGTTTCCCAGCCATTGATGTCATTCCGCACTGGAATGTGCTTCTCATTGGATCTGTTGAGGAAATGCTGCGCATTCAGCAGATTGTCCTCAATCAGTGGCTTCATGCTGCAATTTCCCGGCCATGTCACTCTCTCCGTGTACAGGAAGTCCTCGGACAGCACCACGCGACAGCGCTTCTCCGTCGCGGCGTCCACAGCGAACAGAATCACGTCCAGATCGATGTCTTTGCTGCTCCGCTTGAGTGCGAAGGAGAAGAGAATGTCATTCGTGCAGTTGAAGTCCACACAGAACAGCCGATAGATCCTGGGCGAGACGCTCGTGATCCGCAGACAGGATCCACCGTCGAAGCTGTCCTCGAAGTGGTGCTCAATGTAGGGATGATCAATCGGAATGGACATCTGCGGCTGCTGCAGTCGCAGATTGAACCACGGCGCCGAGGAGACAATCTGGCCCAGCTCTCGGCGCACCTCACCCGATCCCACGCAGAATGACGTGTAGAAGGGCAGCTCGCAGGGTCCGCTGGTGTACAGATGACTCCAGAAGGATGCGTAGAACTTGTTGTTCCGCCGGAAGAACGCCTCGTTGCACTCTGTGTTGCCACGCTCGGAGAAAATGTCCACAGAATCATTCTGCATGGCCTCAAAAGTCCATCCAATGGCAAACAGACCCACACTGAAGTCCCTCTTGGCGATCTTCTCGAGCGTCTCGTGCGTCTTGAACTGCGCCACTTGTCCACGTCCAAACACATCAATGCCCACAAACACATTCTTCTTCCTTCCCGGATACTTCAGCGAGACAAATCCCTCCGTGTCCTCCAGATTCTTCTCATTCCAGCCATAGTTCAGCAGAATTGCGTCGCAAACCTCGAAGAAAGTGCTGTTCTTGAAGTTAATCTCATTCTGCCATCGCACAGTTCCATTCTCAATCACACTGTCGTACCAAACCACCAATCCGCCCACGCTTCTGTGGATCTCCTCAGTCAAGTAGCCGATGAATTGTCTGCAAGCGAGAGAAAGAGGGAGAATAGAGACTTTGCCAACATCCTGGATGGTTTCAGACTCACTTGAGCAGCGGAATTCTCTCCGGAATGACTTTGCACTCGATGTTGATCAGCCACCCGTCGAATTGGCAGTGCGTCGTGATGAAGACAAGCTCGTCCGCCACGCGCCTCATGTAGTCCTCCGACTGCAGCACCTCCTCCATCAGCTTCTCGCCGGCGCCGGACTCCGTGATGAACGTGCCCAGCACCTTGACGCCGTGCCTGTGGCCGGCGTTGATCCACTGCAGCGGCGGAATGGTGATGTACTTGTGGCTGAAGTAGCAGAAGTAGTCGATGCCCGCCCAGTGGTAGAATCTGTAGTCATCCCACTTCTCTGCGCCATCCACGAATCTGTCCGCGCGATAGTTCCCGGCCAGATCGTGGCACACCAGCACCTCCGGGCGCTTCTCCTCCAGCATGTACTCCTGCAGCGGCGGCTCCATGAAGCTCATGCTGCCGAAGGCGTCGCCCAGCCGCCTGGGACGACTCCTGGGCGCCAGCGGCTCCACCAGCTCGTTCCACTTGATGGGCTGGCGCCGGAAGGCGAACAGCTCCGCATTGGAGCTCAGCGGCTGGCACTCCACGCCGTCTGCAACGATTGACATCCTCAGTGTGTGTGCGCGTGAAAAGTCGCTCCGCCGTCCTCAGAAGCTCCCCACAGACTGCGGAGCCTGACTCGCAGAGCTCGCAGTGAAAAATGCGTGTGTGATAAAATGCGGTTTAATTGGGAACTCTTCTTCATTGATTTCCGGGCGTTCAGAGGAAAATTCCCATTAGAATCGTGCCAGGGGCAAAAGAGAAGCGTTAGGAAAAATACTCACGCTCTCAGTCAAGTCCTGTGACTTAAATCAACATTTCTTCAAGTTGGAGAAAAGTGGTTTTCATTCTGTTGATTTCCCTTTATATTCCATTATCCATTCCTAAAATATTCCTCGAAATAATTACGAAACATTCCCTCCCATTACTAATTCGAACTTGTATTTTCGAAAGCGTCTTAGACAGAAAGACTTGCACAAGAATTTAGCACAAGATCGTGAAATCGCGGGTTCGATTCTCCTGCAGTTGCATTCTTTTCACCACTCTTTTTCGTGTATTTTCCTTCACTTTATCGCTTTTTATCAGCATTTTTCCCTCAATCTTCACGTAAAACTCTTTTCTGACGCTCAGAATTGCTTTTTTCTCAGAGTTAGAGAAAGTTTTTTCCTCTAACATTCTTTTTAACGTTTAAATGTCGATTTTTGGACTTGAAACTTCTCCTAAGAACTCCTTTTTTAAGCCGAGAATGTATTTTTCCACAATACTCGTTTGGAAAGCTGCTAATATTGCATTTTCGCGTCTTTTTCTTTCGCGCATTTGCGTTCATGAGTTCAAATCCAGCTCGCGGAAAATCTTTTTCTCATATATTTTCCGGTTTTAGCTTTTTTATACAAGAATTTAATCAATTATGGTTAATTTAATAATTATTCATCGCAAACCCCCGAAAAATTTTATTTGTGAAGCAGATGAATTTAAAATTGATATATTTTCGTTTATGAGCGAAAAATAAATAAATTCCAAGGGATTTTCACTATTATTTGCATCAATTCCTGAATATTTTTTAATATTCCGGCTCTTCCGCGTTACTTCTTTCTCGATCTTTTCCACCTTTTCCAAATGATTTAAACAACTTGAAATCACGTTAAGAAATGTGTGAATTTTACACAAAAATAACATTCTTAATAAAATTAAGGTGATTCTGCTTCGTTCAAGACTTCTTTGAGGCATTTTTCTCATGTATTTTCTTCTGTGTGTCGAAACGGTTGAAACAATGTGTTGTTTATCTCACGCTGGACTCAAATGTGGAAGAAATGCGCGTCATATCGTGTTGATAGCGTTGATATTAGACAAAATTGAGGGAATTGTGGCTCGAAAATCCCAACAAACGAAGCCTTTGATTTTAATGACGGTGTTAGCGCGCTATCTTTGATTGATTTTCCATCAAATTATTGCTGATAAGAGGAACGAAAGCCACACAAAATCATGTGTGAAATTTCCCTTTTGTCTCTCTTTCGCCTCTGAATTTGCAGAAGAATAATTTTTTCCCACTGCGAATTTGAGTTGCGCCGCTTTTTCAGCAAAAAAGCCCGCGAAATCTGAGATTGAATAGGAAAAGAGTCGCGCTCTCAATTCTCTCGCCGCCGAGCGAGTTTAGGAGAGTGAGTGAGTCAGAGTGGAGTCTAAGCGCGGAGAAAGAGAGTTTTTGGGTTGAAGAGGAGGGAATTGGAAGCATCTGTCAGACTTCCTCCACGTCTCACGAGTGCAATTGGCAGCTGAAGAGTGGATTCCGCGCGGAGGTCATCGCCAGGCAGGCAGTGATTGGGGTGTCCTTCTGGAGCACAAGGAATCTCTTCGGTTGTGCGACTGTTCAGGCCAAGGCTTTTCTCGCGTGAGAAACTCAGTGGAAAGTCGCGCAGTACGCGGAAATCCGTGCGTGTGTGGGTGTTATCAGTCGTGTGAGGAATTCACGTCGGACATCGGCGGGAGATAAGAGGGAATTGTGGGAAGTGTGGCTCACCCGCTCCCTGGACGCAATTCGTATCCATTGCTCTGAGGTGATTGCTGGAGGACGCGTGACGTCAGTGACGATGACCGCCGAGGCGCAGCCAGTGAATCCGGAGGACCTGAAGGCGCTCAAGGAGCGAATGCAGCTGATCAGCGAGGCCGATCCCACGCAGTATCACAATGACTTCTCGCTCAAGCGATATCTGCGGGCCTTCAAGACGGTGGACGCGGCTTTTCAGGTGAGTTCTTCGTGGCACATTTCCCGGACTTCACTCGCGGCGTGGCTCTTCGGGGGGCGCTATATCACTCGCTTATCAGTTGGCCAGACTCCCTGCGGGAATATCCCTGTGTTTATCCCTTCCTGACACCCGCAACGTCAGTCGACAAACGCGCTCTCTCCGGTTCACGCGTTTCACTCTCTCTGGAAGCCCGAATTGCTCCTCAGATGGCGCTCGCTGAGCCCTTTTCAAACACAACGGCCCGCCCAAGAGGCAGCACGGGCAGCATTTCACTCATTTCTCTCCACTTCCGACCTTCTTAGGCTGTGCTGAAGACCAACAAGTGGAAGGAGACTTACGGCGTGAAGGATCTGGAGCAAAGTGCCGCCATTCAGAACAACCTCAACAAGGCGCGCGTCCTCAATCATCGGGACATCACTGGACGTCCTGTGATCTACATTCCGGCAAAGAATCACAACACATCCGAGCGAGACATTGACGAGCTGACGAAATTCATTGTCTTCTGCCTGGTAAGAGCCTTCCTCATCCCCTTCCTGACCACCCTCAATCAATTCATCCCTCTTTTTGTGGCTGCTCAACAGGAGAAAGCTTGCCAGAAGTGCTTCGAGGAAGTCACAGACAATCTCTGCATCGTATTCGATCTGGCAGAGTTCAGCACTTCCTGCATGGACTATCAGCTGGTGAAGAACCTCATCTGGCTGCTGAGCAAGCACTATCCTGAACGCCTGGGCGCGTGTCTGATCATGAACTCTCCCACGATATTCTCCACAATTTGGCCGGTGATTCGCGGGTGGCTGGACGAGAACACGTCCGGCAAGGTGTTCTTCGTGAATTCCGAGGAGGAGCTCTGCAAGTACCTCATCCCTGACATCCTTCCCAACGACATGTAGTGCGCTGGGGGGCGAGAAAATGACCTTCGCTATGTACAAATGAGGGTTACACGTACAGTTTTCTGTCAATTATTTAATTCCTTCTCCACTCTACATGTAATAAATCGCTGACAATGCACTTATATGCAGGAAACTTGAGAAAATTGTTGGATTTTCGTGGAAATTCAGTGAATTTGAGCGGACTTCCGGGAATTTCGCCAAAAGGTAGGCAAAAGTCAATCAATTCATAACCTAATTTTCCTGAAACTGTTGTCGCTGTTGTCAGTGGTGGAGTTGCGTGAACTTTTCCTGTTTTTCTTCGTGAAAAATCTGTGATTTTGCATTGAAAAATCACTGCCGCGATGCCTGTGGACAAGGAGAAGCTGCAGGAGCTGAAGGGACGATATGACAAGGCGGTGGCGCTGATGGAGAAGGAGAGCAAGAGTGATCCGGAAACTGACCCTTTCCGCTCTCACTACGCTGCTCGTGATATTCTGCTGGAGATCCGTGCGGGTCTGGAGAAGCTCGTGATAGGCACTGAAGAGGCGGACGGAGAGACGAGGCTGATATATAGATTCCTCCTGGGAATCATCTACAAGACACTCGGGCAGTTGTATATATTCGTGGAGGAATCTGGATCGGCGAGAAAGTATCTTCAGGACTGTATTCTCTCGCTGGAGGATGTGCAGACGCATCCTGACGCTGTCATACCTCTTGTCGGGGCACTCAATCAGTTGGGCATTCTGCAGGCGAACCAGAATGAGCCCAAGGAGGCCAGAGAGACACTCCTGAGGGCGGAGAAGATCTACAATGACTACAATGCCACGGAGAGCGCCGAGCCCTTAACCACCATCAATGATCTCTTCGCCACCAAGGAGGAGATCGAGTCGGGAGCTGGAAGACTGCTGCTGGAGAAGACGCACACCCTGACGCTCTATTACCTGGCCCAGGTCGTGTGCACTCTCGGGGAGACGGACAACTCCAGAACTTACTGCCACAACACGCTGAAGCGCCAGCTGCAGTTCAACGACTACGAGCACATTGACTGGGCTCTGAACGCTGTCACGCTGTCGCAGTGCTTCCTGACGCCGGACGGCCTCACGCACGCCAGGCACCACTTGGCCGCGGCCACGTTCATGATGGACAAGTTCGAGGCGGTGATGCTGAAGCCGGAGATGACGGAGGAGGAGAAGGCGGCGCAGCTGGAGACGCTGCGACACAGGAATGCGGACGTGAGCAGATGCTGGGTGAAGTACGCCCTGTACATCCTCACGCACAGCAAGGAGCGCCTGATGGAGGACAAGGAGGAGGACGAGAAGTCAGATGAGGAGAAGAGGATGAAGTCTCTGAAGCTGAACGACGACGGCATGACTTTCGCGCTGGATTTGTCGCTGTACGAGACGAAGATCACTGACCAGCCGGTGCTGATGTTCGAGGACGCCAAGGAGGTGTATCTGTTCGCGCTGGGGCACATCAATCGCGCCAAGGATTACTACAGGGCGGACACGCTGGCGTCGGAGTACGCCAAGGTGATCATGGATCTGTCGTCGATGCTCAAGTACTTGGCCTTCTTCGAGGAGAACGAGGACGATCAGTGCAAGCTGCACAAGAAGCAGGCCGACCATCTGGAGGACCTGGTGGCGCAGCTCAATCCCACGTACTATCTGGTGATCTGCAGGGAAGTGTGGTACGAGCTGGGCATCACGTACATGACGATGCTGGACATCAAGCTGGACAAGCTGAAGCACAACGATCGCCCATCGCCGCACGCGCTCAACAAGGTGAACACACTGTGCGACAAGGGCATCAAGAACTTCGACAAGTTCCGCGAGTCCTTCCCCAAGATCGACGACACGACGCCGGACGAGGATATGCAGCTGATCCTGTACGCCTACTTCCACTTGGGCAGGCTGTACTACAAGAAGATCACGCCCGACAAGCGGATGCAGTTTGTGAATCTGGAGAACAGCCTCAAGTTCTACAATCTCTTCCTCACCGGCTGCGATCGGCGCGAGGCGCTGACCAAGGGGATGAAGGGCGAGATTGGGTGCTGTCGCGAGATGGTGCGCCTGCTGCCGCTGAAGCTGGCGCAGATAAACATCGCCATTGGCTCATCGTAACTTGTCCATTTATTGAAATCCTGGCACATAGAGCTTCTTTCTAACACATCAGCACACAGCAAAAGTATATCACAAATACAAGAAAATAAATCAATCATTTGGAATGTCTCTCTGGGCAAAGAAACTCCGCGCTAAGTGTAGGATTTACAAAAATACTGAGACTTTCAAGAGCGTAACAAAAAGTAAAGAGAATTCCTATAAAAACAGAGATTAAAGAGATTTAAAAACACTTACGTATTATCTATTAAAAAAAAATATGCTGTTTAAACTATATGAAAAATATTAACATCTCTTCAATAGACTTCTTTCTCCTCTCTCTCTCTCTAAAATATATAAAATCTCTCACTTTTAATATAGAAGAATTGTAGGAAATAGTTTTTTTTTCTCTTTAAGTTCCACAGTGTCATATAATTTGGCTCAATATATTATATATGTACGTATAGTTAATTATATCTTTGATTTACATTTAAGAATCCTTGTTGGCTTTTTTCTTCAATATCATTCCAATAAAATTATGTGTGCTTTCACGACACGTCACAATATTAAGACGACAATTTTTTGCACAAGTAACTTGTTTTCATGTTTTTTAAAAGGAAGTTTTGGGGGGCATTTTGGCTAGTCGGGAAGTAGCGGCTCCTGATCCGGATGACCGGAAAACCGGTGTCTCACGGACGACGAGGAATGGCCAGTTTCAGATTCTTCGATATGTTCAACATCTGCGTGGGAAATCTTGGGATTTGTGCTGCAAAGATAAACGAAAAGGCGGTTAAATCTCCTCCCAATTTCCCTCCAGAACTGTTAAACCTTATTTCCTAACGGTCAAGACCTCGTAGGACTTCTGCCCGCGAAATCTTCACGCGCAGATGTGCAGCAATTCCGTGACAATTTGGTGATTAGCAAAGGGGGAGAAAAATGGCGGAAAGATTGAGTGAAAAACTTACAGATTGTCAGGATGATTCTCGCGCTGCGCTGGCGTCAAATTCAAGATTCCCTTGTTGTTGATGTCGTACAGCCAGATAACAATGGTGGCGATTAGGGCGACAGACAGCCAGCCCATAAAGAAGATCTCCAGCATGAGAAAGCCGCCATGATCCACAACAACGCCCGCCATCATGGAAACCACGGCGAGACCGAGATTCTGCACAGATTGGCAACTGCAAAAGGACGAAAGGAATCAAATAAATCTATTCTTATTCCGATTTTGAAGCTCTCCGAAGTTTCTAACCTCAAAAATATCACTAAGAGATCTCTAAAGACATATTCTGAAAGATTTTCAGAGATTTCAGGTCACAAAATAATCTCAAAATTGATAATTCAGAGTCAAAATAGCGTTAAAAGTTTTCTAAGCAACCATTTTCCGTGTCCAAATACGTATTTTTGAGGTTATGTTTGACTTTACCACAATTTGCAGTGTTTCTAGACCATCTAGACTGTGAAGATGAAGAATAATAACGTTTTTAGCCTGAAATCGCTTAATTCTGCCAATTATTGGCGATATTTCACCGAATTATTCACTAAATCTGTCCGTGATTCGTTACATAACCTAGAAAAAAGTCTATTTTTTACTGTTCCTGTCTGAAAATCAAAGGAAATCTCTAGAAAAACGGGACAATTTGTCAGCAAGAGAAGGAATCAGGAAAGCCTGCAAATTTCTTGGACCTTACCACAAGAATTGCTGTGCTAGAATGTGAACATAACCTATAAAAAAGGATGATTGTGATTTTTTCTACGTAAAAACCAAAAGAAATCAAAAGAATCGGGATAATTTGTGAGTAAAAGAAGTACTTAAGAAGTGAATATTGTATGTTTTCGGACTCTTCCACTTCTTAAGTACTTCCGCTGATCTGTACACCACTTCTGACTGTATTATTTCCCCTTGGTTTAACGAATTTAAGCTTGATTTTGATGATTAAGTGTGTTCTTCGGCTTCTTGTGCCCAAAATCAATACTCACATGCCGTAAGCCGTTCCCAGCTGGTACTCGGGAACGATGAGGGCCACGAGGGGCCAGAGACTGCTGGCAAGCATCGAGTAGGACAGGCCCATGATGACCATGCCGACGTAGGGATTGGCGAAGGTGAAGCCCAGGATGCCGTGCGCCAGGATCGTGGTGACGATGGAGATGAAGACCCAGAGGACGTTCTTGCCGGTCTTGTCCACCACCAGGCCCATGAGCGGGCTGGCCACGGCGGAGATGATGTACACGATGGAGTTGACCGTGTTGGCGTCCTCCGGGCTGTAGTCGAACTTGCGGATGAAGAACACCTTGCCCAGCGCGATGAAGGGGAAGATGGCCACGTAGTAGGCCACGCAGATCACGGACACCATCCAGAAGGTCACCCTGAACGTCCGGACGTCGGAGAGCTGCGCGATTTCGCCGGTGGGATTGTCGTTGCGCTTGAGGATGCGCTGCGCGCGCTTGTCCATCCAGCCCAGCACCAGGGCGCAGATCATGGACATGACGCAGGTGAGCGAGGCGAGCAGCAGCACCACACCCACGCACATGTGGCCCTTGTAGAACTGGCCCACGTACTTGTACACGGGCTCCATGACCAGGAAGTTCACGGTGCTGCCCAGGCGGGCGAAGGAGAGCTGCAGCCCGAACACCATGTTCAGCTCCTTGCCCTTGAACCACAGCACGGCGTAGTTGTTCTGCGCCACGGCCAGCGACTCGGCGCCGATGCCGAACACGAAGCGCCCCACAACCATCAGCCAGAACATGTTGAGGATGCCGCCCATGGCGAACAGCAGCTGCCCGATCAGCAGGATGAACATGTAGATGATCGTGCCGAAGCGGATGCCGAACACGCGGTCCAGCAGGAAGCCGCCGATGAAGCACAGCACGACGTTCGGCCAGGAGTAGATGGAGTACAGCATCACGAACTGGCTCGTGCTCATGCCCATGTCGTTCTTGAAGTTGTCCTGCAGCGCGCCGGGGTTATCGTAGCAGAAGTAGGAGCCTGCAAGGGGGCGACAGGGTTAGCGCTCAAGCCGCGGAGTCTGGACGGCGGCTGAACTGGGACACGCTTATCGCGGGGTGCGTCATGTGTGTTGAGTTAGGTCGCCAGAGACAAAGGCTACAGCGCGAAAGTGCGCCGCAGAATACTCACCGAAGCCCAGCAGACACATAAAGATGAGGGCAATGAATCTGTGACACGTGTGGCTGGGATTGCAGCAGGCGGAGCCTCCGCATCCCGTCAGCTCCTCGTCCAGTTCGTTGTCCTCGCCGTCCTCCGGGCGCTCTGGCTCCTGGAGGATCGGCATGCGGCTGTCGTCCTCGTCCTGGGAATGCATGCTGGCGCTCCTCTGCGCTGTCTCTGGTGGGACTGAGAAGATGTGCTGAATTTGGGGGCAGATGTTACTTTATCTCGCCTAGAAGAACTCCCGAATGTCGCCGCTCAAATGCACATTTCGCGACTCACAACGAGCACCACAGAGTCCGCGGAGTCTTCTTCGGTGGAGGATTTATCACTGAATTATCAGGGAGTTTGGCTTTTGCTGTGGAAAAACGTACTTTATGCCTTGCCTGACATTCCAACTACGTCAATCTGGTTGCCCAGTTGCGGTTCCACACGCTACGTAAGGGTTTCAAGAAACGGATACTCATCGGTAGTGGATGTGAAACCGTTGCGGATTTGTTTCCTGTTCTGTCTCTGGGGGCAATCGGAGAGCAATAATACCTTATTGCCCTCCGACTATGAACATGATACAAATGAGAAAGGTTTCAGTTTCTGATTCCCGACAAGAAATGCTTTCGTTCTTGTTTCACAGATTAAACATGTATAGAATAAGCCATATGGTGTCCCTAAATTTTATGGCCCACAGAAATTTCAGACCTCTCAGACCCTCATAAAATTTACCCAATTTTCGGCACTCTACCTGATTGCCCTCAGAGGAGAAACGAGTAAGACCAAGTATTCTTACTATTTCCGAATGTGGTCAAGAAATGCCTCCGTATGGTTTACGGAAGAGTTTCTCGTAATACCTGAAACCGGTTCAAAATTCCATGATGCGCTCGAGGGAGAAAAGTAGTGCAATAAAACATCTGTTTTACAGAAAATAGGCAGAGAAAATGCAAAGTATGAAAAAAGGGTCATAAAACAAGGCTCGGGTGTCGGGATGAAGCAATGTTGGGAAATTCCTTCACTAAAACTCATCTGAGTTGTCGATTTAGTTGAGTTCTGGTCGTGGTTGAATGCAGAACGAGCAGAGTGCAGTTCTTCATCGGATAATAAGGTGAGAAAAATTGCATTTATTTAAATACATTTTGGTGAATTTTCAAAATGTGCATTGATTATGCTGTTGTAAAATAAATTGAGAGAAAATTTGTTCTAAATTCTGCGCATATAAACAGTAAAATTTAATAATTTTATCATTTTTCAGATGGACAATGAAGCCGCGGGAAATTTCACGGAATCCGGGATAAGATGACGCCGGAGAGTGCTAAAGATAGCCAGATTCAGCATAATCAACATTGCCGTTTGGACAAAAATATATATTTTAATTGTATTGGATTCCATACAAGAAATAAATACGAAATTGCTTCCAGAAATAACTACGAAATTATTTCTTGCAATAGGAATGAAAATATTTCTTGATTGAATTACGAAATTGTTTCCTGTAGTAAGTATGAAATTATTTCTTGCACTAGTAACGAATCGATTTCTTGAAATGTCTCGGAGGGCAATTATCCCTTTTTTTTGTTCGAGGTTTATTGCCCTCCGCGCCCGAGCGTAGGGGCAATAAAAAAAAGGGATGATTACCTACCGAGACATTTCAGGAAATTGTTTCGTCGAGGTAAAAGTGAAACGCATCCAATGTAAATTCCCCATAAGCGTTATAGGTCGGAAACAGTTTCTTGAAACCTATACGTAGCGTGTGGAACCGCAACTGGGTGAATGCTTGCAATTCGCTCCGCTTTGTGTCTCTCTTTCTCTCTTTCTCTCTCGCTGGAAACTCTCCCGCGCTCTCTGGCGGAGAATCCACCCCAGATGGCGCTCACCGCGCCATTTTGAACTCAGCAGCAAAAGCTTTTGCCGCTTTTGCTGTTTCTACATAGTTTGATGCTATTTTTTCCACTTTCAGGGCAAGAAAATTGCATCGAATCAGAAAGACGGCAGTAATTTTATGTATTATCATGAAAATCATCACGCGCGCAAGTTGAATGCAGCTTGAAGCGAGCGCGCAGCTCATGCTCTGCAGCATGAGAAAGCAAGACTCAAGGGAAAAATAGGGAGAGAAAACCCTATTTTTCAGGCAGATAGGCAAGAAATATTACTTTAGCATGTATGGAGAAAATGCAGTCCAAGAAGTACTCTACACATAGGAAAAATAATCCGACATAAAAGTTTTTTCGTTTCGGAGATATTTAATATAATCTGACCAACAGGTGAATTTTTGTTGAGTAACGCACAGAAGATCGCGCACAAAAGATCATTTCTGACCAACAAGGAATGGTCTAAAATCGCCACAATGTCTTACAAAGTGGTAGATAATTTCAATATCTATCATTTGAGCCCAATTTGGGGAAAATCCGTGGAAAATTGGGTGAGATATGAGCACATATGTGCGGCAAAGTGGGTGAAAATAGAAAATAGGCTTCAGGAGGAGATCCTGGGTGTCTAGGAGGCCTGGTGGGGTATCTATGGAAGGCTCTTGACCCAAGGAATCTTAAAGGATGTAATTTGTATGAATTTGTAGCCTTCTCAACAGCTCAAGTTCACCAGCGGCAATCAATTGTAATTATCCTTAATTAGTTTGAACATCATTTCAAATGCATGTTGTGCAAGTCACTCGAGTACCACAAAAGAGGAAGATTGAGGATGAAATATCCTCGTGGGAAGGGAAATCACATGGCAAAGACTCTTTCATTTGCCGAAGATTCTGAGGAGGAAAAGTCAGTGCTTGTCTGTCGCGCGGAGATGATTTCTGGAGCATCGCAATTGAATTGCGAGGAAGATTTGGATCTCGGGCATTGTTGTCCGGAGGAGCGCTGCAGAGACGTGAATACTTAAGTGTGCGGAGGACACACAATTGAAAAGGAACGTGAGAGTTCCGCTGAAAATGTGTACAAGGGTGACTTGTGAAAAGGAGTGTGCAAAAGAGGAGTCATTTCCTTCGAATTCACCTTATTTGTCATCTTGGAATTCGTCTTACTCTCGATTCCTTTCAACAAAACCCAAGCTCTAAGGGGTGGAAACTATTTTCCGGCTTACACCGGGGGAATTCCTATTGAGACACCTTCATTTGGAAAGTGCTGTATTATGAGGATTTGTGTTTAAGTGAATTTGAGGTCTGAGGCGCCAAAATCATTGGCATTTTGCAATATTAAGCCATGATATTTCCGGGAATTCCCAGCCAAATATCGATTCTGAAGAGATGCCGGAAAGTCAGACGAAATAAATGTTACAAGGCGAGAGGAAATATTGAAATAATCCCAAAGTTATTGCCCAACATAAATCAGAGATTCGACCAAATGGCAAGCGATGGACAGTGTTTTGCAAAAGGATGAAAAAGATTTATACAACCCAACATGAATAAAGCAAATGGAAAAGTTGCAAAATGGCTAAACTTTCATTCTCCCTCGTCGAAAAGTGCGTGCTCTTCAACCCTTTTTCCCGCGAGACGCCCTTGAATGTAGGTACTTTGACCCTCGAAAAAGCCGCAAGGGAAACTTTCGCGAAAGCTCTCAGCAAATCCTGCTCACGATGCAGTTTCTGGCGTCTGTGTGTTTTAGCAAGGAAAGCCATCATAAATCAGGTGTAAATGAACTTCAGCCACACTCATTATTTAATTGGGCGTACCTTTTGCCAGAGGAAAAGCACAGAGAGGCTTTGCAGCAATCAAAAGCACAACCATAAAGTCCAAGAAGCAAACACATTAATTCTCCCACCCTGGAAGAGTGACTCCGGGCCGAAACTGACCATTTCTCTCTATTTATCACGCCTGCCAGAGACCATTAAGATTTCCAAAATTAATACTAGCATAAATAACACAAATGGAGGACCTCTGCTCGCCACTAAACACCCAACTTTGGCACGCGAATTGAACTGTGCGATGCCAAAATTGATGATGAGGCGAAATGGATGTTAAATGATCATATAAATTATATGAGTTTAACTACGCCGCTAAGCAGTGCCGCGATTTTTTGCTGACAAAGCCAATAAATCGCGTCAGGAGGAGTGATAAAAGCGGTGCAGCCAATTAATTTTGCGCAATGTATTGAGCTATAATAGCCAGGGCAAAATGCACTGTGAATCGTAGAGAAGTTTTTGCTCTGTTCAAAAACTCATTTAACCAAAGTCATAAAGAAGAGATTAAAATCATAAAAGCGAAAGCGAAATATTTTCAGCAAGCCATACACATAAATGAAGTCGCTTTCGAAGGATTTATGCTGAAATACTCTCAGAAAGTTTTTAATCAAAGAGCTTTCTTTAAACTGTTTTCTGGCTGGATTTGTGAAATATCTTCAGCTTTCTAACTCTATAGGAATTTTTAAATAAATAATATTGATAGAAACACATTCTCGTGTCCTTTTTTTGAGAAAGTATTTTTTGAATACTAATACAAGACAAAAAAAAACACATTAAACTCTGATAAAGCTGAATGAAAGCTTTCAGAATGATGTGGAAATTCCAAAATTGATTTTAAAACTAATCCAAAAGCAAAATTAGCACTTGAATTGAAGCTAAATACTTCTGCATTTCCTAAATTGTGATGTATTGATTGGAAAATTTTGTGAAAATGATTTATTTCATTGGCAGCAACTGTGCCAGAGCAGATTTCCTTGCATGGCTTGGAATGTTTCATTTATGAAACTAGATATAATAATATGTCAGAATTTGAAGAGGATTTTCAAAAGAAGTCTGTTTGAAAAGTTCATGAAATTCAGTCACTTTCAGGCGAGCTTTTAGAGAGCTTACCGAATTAACTTTCGTCTTTTGAAGATCTCTTCACTTATTAGCTAATGCACAATAAGCAAGGAATTGTTTAGAGCTTCTCTGGGGTGGTTTTGAGATGAATCCTAAGCAAGTCAATGCTTCCAAATGTCAGGACAATGCGACAGAGAGGAGCCTAATTGCGAATTGAGGACACGTCGTCCGTAGACAATCACCTTTGTAAGCTCATCTATGTCTTTCTCGCATGAGTTATGATTTTTTGCCGGAATATAAATGACCGGCCGGTCGTGTTTTGTGCCATGATTGAGGGAACTTCGAGCAATTGCCGAGAGGCTGTTTTGGTGTCTTTAAACACACTGAATGCCTTTAAACCTTCACGACGCACCAGAATAGTTTGCCCATGAAATCTCCACAGAAATCTCACCCACATCCATCCGTTTTCGGGGGTTCGAGGACGTGCCCACCCGCATCGCCACCCCCAGGAGTGGCGGAGCATTTTGAACATGATAATTTGAAATGTGTTGTGTGTGTGGCAAAGTATGTGATCATTGTTCATGGGTGTATAGTCAGAATTTGTGAAATATATCCGCCCATTGCACAAACTTGCTCCAGCATAATTGGCGGTAAACCTATTATTGATTGTGAGAGTCATTAAAGGCATTTGTATTTTGGCTCTCAGAACAATTTACAAGCACTAAATACAACTCCAATGTGAGCCAATTTGAGCTGGAAAATATTTATCTTTGTGTTATTTCCTTTTACATCCTCCCCAACCAGGAAAACATGCTCCTTTCGATCGATTTTTATCCTCTGGGAATTGCTTCAAGTCTTCCATGCGGAAGTCAAAGACAATCTGTGCAACTTGACTGTGATTGAATTGGGACGGTAATTCGCAATGAGTCTTTTCAATTATTTCATTATGCTTCCTTTTCGCTGGTTTAATACAATACACAGAGTTAATTACCACTTGCTTAGTGACACCATGAACTCCGTGGACTTTCAGACGCTGGAATTCAATGCCGAAGAAAGTTTGGTTGCCCCAAGGGGGATATAATACAGTCAGAAGTGGTGTACAACTCGACAGCAGTACAAGAAGTGAAAATGTTCTTGCTTTTAGTGACAAATCACCCAGATTCTTTGGATTTCCTTCAATTTTCATGCAGAAATAAACGAAATAATCTTTTTTCTAGGTTATGTAACGAATCAAGGACAGATCTAGTGAATAATTCGCATTCAAGCACATAAATTCTTATGCTCTATATGGAAAGATCGTCAGTCCTCGGCAAAAATAAGCATTTGCAAGCAATTAACAGTGCTTTTTTATCTTTTGTTGCCAAGAAACACTGAAAATTGTCTTAAGATTTAACATAACCTCAAAAATAGTCATTTGGAATTGGAAAATGTTCATTTGGATAACTTTTTGGGCAATTTTGACTGAGAATCAGTAATTTTAAGATCATTGGCAAATGCTGAAGATCTCTTACTGACAATTTGAGGTTATGGTCGGAAAAGACAACCAAAAAACCGGTTTTAAGTGAATTCTTACACAAATATCTGCAAATATCGGATGGAAACTTAATACAATTTTATTTTCTCCTTGAATTGGACTCTTTTAATGGCAAGAAATACATGAAACTGTGCTTTAAGACCGTACATAACCTCAAAAATTGTCATTTAGAGAACTTTCTGGACAATTTTGTTTGGTATAAGCAATTCTTAATTTATTTGCAAATTATAACTGATGATTTTGTGATCTAAAATGCTTCCAAACGAAGATCTTTTAGCGATATTTTGAGGTTATATTTGGAAAAATACCCAAAAAAAGTGGTTCAAAGTCGATTCTTATAGAATTATCGAATGGAAAATTAAGAGATTCATTATAACTTAACGATTAATGTGGAAACAGACTAAAAATTTCACGTTCTAGAAGTGTCAGGCAAATTTGGAATTATCTCCCCCTTGATTGGCTGAGATTTTTCCTGCAAATTCATTCAACTATCGAATTCTCTCTCTTCATTCGCGATTCCTTTGGGTGAAGGAAAAGAAGAAGCATAAGAAGTCACACAGGAAGAAAAAAAGTTAAGCGAGTTGGCAAAAGTAAATTGTTGTCTTGGACAAATTTATTTAACATTTATTGAGTGTTGAACATTTTGTAAGGCACCTTTCTCAATTACAAAGTTCAACTCTGACATCTTCTTTCTTTCTCACCACTGAGAATTTTCTCTTGGGTGAAAAGGGAGAAAGTGACGCAATGAAAATTCCCACTTTATCGTCTCAAAGGAAGAGAAATCGTTCATAAAATTGGCCTTTATGAGTAATTTGAGGAATCTCGGAAATGTATTCATTGTTTAGGCAATTTTCACTGTGGAATGCAATGGAATGGAAAGCGCCGGACACAATTACATACATATAGAGTGAGCTTTTGAATACGACAAAGGCGAAAATTGATGGAAGCGATGCCAAAGCGTTTATTCATGTAGTGTTTAGCATGATGAAAAAGCATGCAAGCGATGAAATCAGATGGAAATCATGCCCTAAACCATGGAAATTGATATGATTAATTGGAATTCCGTGAAATTCTCCCGTTTGATTATTCCCAAATTAATCATATTGTGATAAATTTCGAGGTCAATTCGCTGTAAAATTATATTAGATAATCCAATCGCGGGATTTAATGCAATTTACCGTGAAACGCAAACATCCTTCGGCTTCTTATTGTATCCTCCGGCGGTGTGAAAGGCAGGTGTGATGGCAAATTACGATAAAATGAGATTATGTGGAAGTAATGAGGGAAAATTGATGCTCAGCTGAGTTGAGAATTGAATTTGTGGTAGAAATTGTCTCGCTTCGCCACTGAATTGTGCTGAATATCAACTGCATCCTGAAGATGAAGGATATGTAAATTTTCCAAATGAGCGACAATCCGAATGCCATTAGCAGATGCATTTAATTAAATTCTTTGATGATGCGCTCAAATGGGGATTCAGGAGGTAAATTACGATAATAATTAATGCAATTAAACATATATTTTCAGCGATATTGTCATCAAAAATGTTGGCATCATTTTGTCGTATTAATTTTAATTTATATTCTCTGATCAGAAATTCCACATGGAGGGGAAAATATCATATTAATTGATATTTCTATGACAGAAATTTTACCGGCAATAAAATATTTAAACTACAATTTCACTGGGTATTCAATCAATTCATACAAATTTCAAGCATTCTTGCAGGATATTTGCTTTACTCGTCAATATTTGCCCAGTGTTTGTGGGAAACATTATATTGAATAAATTTCCCCTGGGAAAATCACATTTCATATTCAACAGATATAAATGATTATAAATTACACATGATTATTTATAGTCAACAAACATTTCATTACAGATTATCAGCTGTGAAAATTGCAATATATCAGTGAAATGGGAAGAATTCCAGGATAAAAACTCAACTGTATGTATAATTTCCGAAAAGCTCCCCAAATAATTCACTTCTTTGTGAGTTAGCAAGTCTTTTCTTCAACCGAATTACCAGCAAAGTGCTCCAATTGCAGCTTTGAAAAAAGCATCTGTGCTTTGCTCCGTTTTAAAAGAAACTCCCCGAGAAAGTGGCCTGAATTATTCATAAAGGGAGCAAAAGCTCCCAGCTGCATTTTCACGAGGAAAAGCTCCCGCTTCTCGAAATACGGCGACAGAAATTGCATAAACTATATACATTTCACTCCGGAAAAAAAATTTTCTGTGGCTGTTCTTCCACCGGAAATTAAATGAAAACTGATGGAAAAGTTTTTCTTGAAACTGATCAATTTATATGCAATATTTTTAATTAAAAAATATCCTTTGTGCTCTCCTGGCGAAGTCACGTGTTGGCGCAAGAGAGAAGAAGAGTTCCGAATGAATATTCATCGGGTTGCATTCCACGACAAAAGCTGGTGCAAAGTGCTGCTCTAAAGAGGAGGATTTCTTCCAGAGGGAATAATCCCCTTTAATCTCAGCTTGAATGCGTGGCGTAGTGACTGAAAGCATTAACTGGGATTATTTATTGCTTGATTCCTCACCACGACACCCATTCTATGAATTATGGCTTGCTTATGCAAAATTAATGGAAGTAATTCGCACAATGATAGATGCGATATCCCGCTGTCCAATTTGCTCCATTTCATTGCACTTCAATTCACATATATTTGCATTATACACCAGAGTGATGCGCCTTCCTAATTATATTCCAATTTATCTTTCTTCCGCGTTTTTCCTTCGCTCGCGTGTTACAAAGATGGTGGGGGGGAAAAATGTCTTTTCCGTGGAGAAAATGCATTTAGAATGACTTTGTCAGGCGATTGATGGAGCAGAGAAAATGCATTCGATGGTAATCTTTCCATCAGCAGCCCGAGGATCAATAGTTCACCACACTTTATGTACTCTATATAACACACTAACGAGGGAGTTATTTTGACCCAAAGGGTTTGATAATAAGGATCCTGAATGCCTCAGTATTTTGTGTTTCCGAAAAAAGCTCAGTTTAACATTTAAATTAGACTTTAGAGCGTCGAAAGAATTATTTCAACTAGTTTGAACATCATTTCAAGAGTCTATAAGAACGTGTCAGAGAATTTTAGGGGAAGAAAACTTAGAAAAGAAATTTGAGGCTGAGTTTAAGAAGAATATTGAAATTTTTAAAGCACTTTAAAGGCTTTTTCTTAACTCTCGACGAGAAATTTTCGTCTGTATTAAGTAAAAATTCACTTATGTGCAAAAATTAAGAGGTTTTTCCAGTTTCACACTCGTTTTTATCGTAAAATCTAGCGTAAAATCGTAAATATCCGATTAAAGTTATTGTTTGCAAGCTTTTCAGTTGATAAATTCGCTTTTTATTCTTTAAAAACTATGCATAAATATATTTTTTTAATATAATTTAATCAATAGCAAGATAAAATGTCTGTTTTTTTTCATGAAAAAGGAAACATTTGTTTGGAAATTGAATTTCGCATCTCGAGCCAAAAGTGACAATGCATCCCCAATATTAGCAACCCCTTATTTTGACCCATTTTCTTGCCTTCAAACACTTCCCAAACTCCTTAATAATCATCTCTCGATCCGACTTTGTCACCAGCAAAACTTTTTTGCTACTTTAAATTAGAAAATTTGCCTGTCATACAATTTTCCTGGGTCTTTTTGCCAAAGAATAAATCATCCGTGGAAAATTCGTAATACAGTTGAATGGCAGAGGAAAAAAAATGAAGCCATTGTCGCCCTTTTCAGTCTTGTTTCTCCGCAAGCTAGAGAGTGAATATACTTACCAGAATATGTTATGTACCTCCACATTAACCATGGATCATGACAATCAATATCGCGGGAGGATGATTAAGTGACTCGGCAGTTCATTGGGAAGCAACTCCACGCCCGCAATTTCATTAATTTCCTGGCATGGCAGCCAAAGAAGAGGCGCTCTGTTTCCTTCCAGAAAATTAACACATTTATTCAAACACTCATACAGTATCTTAATTCCATATTACATCTCATGTGGCTCCCTTTTTTTTCCCACATCTCACTTGATTGATGATTATCACACTTTATATTCAGTTTCTGTTTTGCATCATCTTCCATAGGAATTTACCTGTTGGAAAGGGACTTATCCATCAGGATGGAGGATCAGGGTGGTGAAGATACTCACTTTCACACGCAGTTTCGGGTTCTATTCTCGCTCAGAAGGTGACTTTGGGTTGGAAAATTGTCTATTCAGAGGCATTTTCCAATATAATCTTATTTTTAGTCAGAAGGACAAGATTTTCACATGAAACCTTGGAGAGAGAGACAGAGAGCTTGAATAGAACCGCACAATCTCTATATTCTAAACACCGTTTTGATACTTTTACTTCCTTGCCACTCTCCTGGAGAGATTAGGATTCACACAGTCACCGACTGCGTCTGGGCTGAGCGCTAGAGTGGCATATAGGCGCATGGAGACTTCTTAGGCGGCTCCACATTCTCATTGGGAAGAATATTGGCGCTCTTCCAGTAGTCTCGCACATTCTCCACCGACTTGAAGACGCGCAGGAAGTTCTTGCCCGCCAGCAGGCCAATGTCATTCTCCGTCCAGCCGGAATCCTCGAGGAGGCTGGCAAAGAGCTCAGGATACTTCGAGACGTCCTCGAGGCCCATCGGTGTGGCGTCAATCCCGTCAAAGCCAGCTCCAATTCCCACGTGTTGGATTCCCGCCACTGCCCGGATGTGGCGGATGTGCTGAATCACGTCCTGAACAGTTGCCTGCCGGGAGCAAGCCACGTGCAGAGCGTAGAAGCTCACCTGGAAGGTCACAAGATTGTGCCATTTATTCGCATTATCCCTCCACCGAGGGGGAGATAGTGTGCTAAAAATCTTTGGCAGTGATTAAAAAAGCTTTTTCGCAAAAGAAATGCACTAATTTGTTTGAAAAAGATCCTTTTGAGAAGCGATTGTTGAAGATATTTAAACACTTCTTTGCTTCCGCGGAGATTTACTCGCTTTTACTCTATTTTATGTCACAATATCTCCCCCTTGGTTCACCTTCGGGGCTTCTTAGCTTGCTTCTGAGCTTGCTTTTGAGCTTACCATGACAATCCCTCCGTTGTCCGCCACAAGTCGCAGGATGTCATCGCCGATATTTCCTGTGGCATTGCAGAGCGCCCTGGCGGCCGAGTGGGAGAACATCACGGGCGCCCTGGTGGCTTCCAGGACGTCCTTGGCAGTGGCGTCTGAGGAGTGAGACAAGTCGATAATCACCCCGATTCTGTTCATCTCCTTGACGACGGCGCGCCCGAACGCCGTGAGTCCGCGGTCATTGGAGGGCGCTGCTCCTGCCCAGGTGTTGTCGCAGGTGTGCGTGAGGGTGAGATATCGCACGCCCAGATCGTACAGGGAGCGCAGGACGCCCAGAGAGGAGCCCAGAGCGTGGCCACCCTCAACGCCGATCAGCGACGCGAACAGTCCACGTCGGTGCATCGTGATGATGTCCTGCGAGGATTGGGCCAAGGCGGTGTGCTTGTCATAGAGCTCAGTGAAGCGCTGGATGACATCAATCTGCTCCAGCGCCAGCTGCACGGCGTCCAGACCCTGAGCCTCGCACGGAACGTAGGCGGACCTGCCAGAAGCAGAGAGTGGTTAGGCAATTTCCCGGCTTCGTGTCCGGACACTGAATTCCATACGCATTTATCACTCGTCTCAAGAGTGGCATTTTGGGTCTGACATAGAATATGTGTGTGTGTGCGATAAGGAGATACACATTCACGTATCCACAAATCACTCAAGCAAATGATCCACGCCACGAGAGGGTGGATGAGTGCTGTGAGCAGTTTGTGGCTGGATTTGGGGTTTTCAGTGGGAGTGTGTTTTGGTGTGCAGTGCCAAAATTCCCTTCAGCAATAATTGTCCTTCTCCCCTGTGAACAAAGGCAAAGTGAAAACAGAAATTCTGTTACAGTCAAATGGAAAAGTGTCTAAAACACTGAGGGCTGAATGAGGATAAATCGAATGCGATGCGAGAGTGTGAGCGAGTCTAGCTTAGAGCGATTACAGACTTGCTGGTTATCCACAAGAGGATTAGCGAGAGCGTGAGTGTGCACGACGTGTGAACCATAAAACGCGATTGATCCCTTGATATATCGATATTTAACCGATATTCACAGCTCAAAACACACAAAATGGCGGCGGATCTCTTGCAAATGATTTCGTGGGATCTCAAAATCATTAAATTCTTCCACAAATCTTCCATTTTTGCAATTTTATCGTAAAATTTCACGGTTTTTGGATAAAATAAGCAAATCAATTGAAAGCTAAGAGCGGCAAACGAAGCAAAATTGTCGCTAGTGTCGACAAAGAAGAATAACTCCTGAGTGTGTACAGCGCCGATTCAGCAACGAAATATTACTGATCCGGTTTTTACACACTCCAAGCTCATCCACAGAGGATTGATCTCAGTCCCCGTCGATTCGTGAGTAATCCGCAAGTCTGTAATCGCTCTTAGAGAGGTTCTCTCACTTCCAGATGGAGAAACTTGAGAGCCAGTTTAATTACAAGCTGGGATATTTAATCTCAATTTACACGTAATTTCACCGGGAAATTGCATGAAATTCTAATGGGAATTGAAGGTCTTGAGAAACTCTCTCAGACACAAGGACTCTCGAGGACATTCCTGAATAGAGAACAAGAAAAATAACCACTTGATAAGCAATATTGGAGAGGAATCAATAGAGCACAGCGTTGACATGCAATTTGCCTCTCTGGATTAACATTTGCAGATTCAATCTGACGCAGTGTTTGCATTTAATTAGTGGAAATCACCAGAAGGATAGCCATGAATTACCATTTGACTTCGTTAGGGATTTCTCTGGCTGAAAATTGAGCAGGCAATTTGCTTTATGACACGATGTTGCTTAACACAAAAACAATTTGTCATCACTCGTCGACATGGTGATAAATTAATAAAAATCCAAACCATGCGAGAGAAAGCCAAATTTTGGGGAAAAATTCATTATCCAAAAAGGGGAAATGTGTGTGTGTGTGTGTGTGTGTGTTTTGATGGGGAAGATTGCAAATTCAATTGATTTGGAAAACCAATTTCGAGATTTGCAGCATTACAATTTCATCTGTTGACGAGTCATTTATTCCAGTCAATCATGAAAATTTAATAGATTTCTATGGTGAATTTATTTAGAATGCGCTTTTCATTGTCGATGTCCCAGGATTTGATGATAATGCCATAAAGTTTAATTCAATTGTGGCTAAAATGGAATAATGGAGAAATTATCAAACATTTATTAGGGCATTATTCGCATTATCAGTTCACAAAACTCATGAAAATTTCAATGTGCAAACATACTAAGTTGCTCTTGTCGAAAACAAGCGCCATTCGATTACATTGGAAGTGAGAGCTTTTCTGCTTGGAAAATTATGCCATGAGCAAATTACATAGAATAACCATCACTTGCAGGCAAAGTCGTCTTCAAAGTGAATTCGAGAGTGGCTTTTCCCAACTTCCGTGTGAGTTGAGGAAAATTACAAACTGTCGAGTTACTCACAAAATCCGTCACTCATTTTATCTAGGCATCGTCAAGCAGAGCGGCTTTTCCAGAGCTTTTTCCCTAATCTCAAACACAATTGTAACTAGAATTTGATGCTTCAGTGAAAGATCGATTAAATTTCACTGCATTTCTAGATAGTTTTCTGGCATTCGACCAAATAGGATGCATTTTCAGTGCATTTGCCACAACATCTCTCCATTATTTTTTATCACAAATAGTGTTTTTCACACTAAAACCATCACCATAATCCTGCCAAAATCCCACAGGAGATTTGCAAATACTTTCCCATTACTTTCACCTATAAGCTCCTTGATTAATCTGTCAAAAGAGGTGGAGAGCTTGTTGATTTTCCATGGAAACTCCGGGAATGCAATCCCTGTTGATCGATTTTGGCGGCCGTCTGAGCCGTCATCAGTCTTTCGCCGGGGATTTTGGCGACGCCACAGCCGCTCAGAGTGGCCCAAATCCCCAATAATGGCAACAAACTTAGCATAATGCTTCCGAGGGGTGGCATATATGATTGTTTGTCTTGTAAGAATTTCTAATATGGATGAAAGCAAATATTGCGAGTGGGTTTTGCCGGAATACAAACAACGGTTGGCATTGCCATTTAGTCTGCATCTTCTTTTGCCTTCTCTGCTGGGCGCGCGCGTCCCTTGATTTGAATATACTGAGGGTGGTTTGTCGATGTGCATATTCGACGGGTGAATCGGAAACTATCAAAAGCCAAAATCGCAATTTTTCAGCAGAGCAAGTTTGAAATTTAGCGTTAATAAAGCTGCGAAATTTGCCAAATTTACCTCAAAACGCCTTCAAATCGTGCGTTAAAGTGCAAATATTGCTCTGTATTTATTATTTTGTGAATATTTTAGTTGATTTCATTGGTATTTATTAATAATTTTGATTAAAATATGGCAAAATGCATAGAAAATCTGTAAATATTACGTTCCAAAGGTCGATTTTATACTGTTTTTATACTGTACTTGAACTTTTCTTTAATGTTTTCAAGTCAAAAAAATTAAAAGATATGAGAAATGTTCATTCAAAGCCTGAAAAACATTTTAGGATAATTCTAAAAACTTAAAATTAATTTTTTTAACAGCGTTTTATGCGTTTGATTGCAATTTTTGAGACATTTTTCTTGGCGTAAACAATGAATATTCGACAGATTTGTACAAATCTCAAAATTTTTCGTACAGGAAGAACAAATAAAGAGCTTTTTCAAAAATTCATAAGACGAAAACTATCGACTTTTGATAGTTTTCGATTCACCCGTCGATTTGCGAGGGGCTTTTTGTCCCTCGCGCAAACATGATACAAAGTGTAAGGACAACATGTGAATTGCTTGGGGGTTGATTTTACCAGAATTGCGCCCCGATGAGCCCCTGTCTGAGGCGAGGGATGTCAGTGTGGCTCCACTGAGAGTTGCTCCACGGCTCGGTGCTCCGCACGCCTTCGGTGAAATTCAAGTACTCCAATCTATTGTGCGAGTAGCGCTTAATATTCCACGGTAAATCATTGTGGCCATCTGTTGAGGAGACAAAACCACTCCGTCAATGATATTCAGCACCGGATTGCATTATTCAAAATCACACAATCCCCCTTCCTCTTCCCCTTGTTCTGCCATTCAATGGGACACGCCTGGGTATTTAATTAATTACACACGTGGACGTAATGAATTCCTCGGTTTTCCTCCTCAGGAAGAGAGCGATTCAATCAATCCTTCTCTCGCCCTTTCACACAACTTGTTTCTCCGTCAAAGCTGACCGCAGAAATAAAGCTCTCTCGAGGGAGAAACTCTAGCCAACACAAAAGGTATTAAGATTCTCCACCAGAAATGCATCAGCGAAATGAAACCAATTTGTCAGAGTGTCTTTTTGAGCTCTCTTTGGCATGAATATCATACATAAATTATCCACTTCAGCGTTCTCTCAAAACATACTTGTTCGCTTAGAGGAGCTTTTAACCACTCAGGACTTGTCTATATATCTTTTCTGACTGCCCCAATCAAATTGACACGCTTTCAGTGGCATAGAAAGGAAGAAAAAGGATCAAACTATGCAAATACTCACATGAAATACTCAATAATTCAGCCAACGGGTGAAAAATTCATCGCTGAAGCAGTTTATTTTGCTAATTAAACCCAAATGACCGACTGAGCAAACAATTAGAGATTCTGCTTTAATTAAATGCACTTCCACTTGGCGAGATTGCTTTTTGAGCTGCAATTTTTACACTTGCCGCCTTTTTATTGACCATGAGAGGATGTGAAAATTTTTATAGTGATAATTACCAAGTGAAATTATGAGTTCATAACCAGTGGAGATTGTTGACCTTTGAAATGGAAAAGCAATGAACTTTAATCATACCAATTAGCGGCGTTTCCTCCAAGAGTCGCCTCACAATGTCGATCCTGAGCGCCTGCGACGATCTGTCAGTTCTCTGGCCCAGAAACACCTCAACCAGGAGACTCAGGATCACCACGCAGACCGTGAGGGCGACGAAGAATGTCACGACGAAGAAGCACCACTTGCGCTCGTTCTCCGCGGCCGCCGAGCCTCTCTCGCGGTCCTTGATCGAGGACTGCGTGGATGGCGGCGTGAGGCTCTTCATGGAGTGTCGCTCGCCGGGTGTGGAGTTGTTGACGGCCAGGGACTCGGTGCTGGAGCTGAGCTCCTTGTGCGTGGACGTCCGATTGCTGTGCGTGTGCTCCGTGACGTCGGGCAGACCGCCGAAGCAGGAGGTTTGCTGCGAAGGAAGAGGAAACTGCCATGGATCATTGAGATGCTGCTCTCGCCCATCCCAAACCCTCGAGGGTCGCCGCAGAAGCAAAGGAAAAAAACTGCTGACACACAAAAAGGAACCCGATAGCCCGATGAGAAAGTCATTTTCCACAGATAAGCGTCTCTCCGTCTCTCGAATTCAAGGGATGTTTGAGAAAAAAAAAAGTTCCCAAAGCACTTTAAAACTTGTCGGTTGGGATATATAGTTTCCACTGAAAGTTTTCCATATAAAATATATGGAAATTGGTTTGGTTTCACCATCTTTTTTCTCTCTCCTCAGCCCATCATATTTTGCATATTAACCTTCTTCTGTGGGGAGGGAGAAAGATGAAATCTACTGAAAATTGATTCATTACTCTGCAAATTGGCAGTTATGATGAGGAATTCCGAGCGAAAGCTCTCAAATGAGCTGAAAATCATCCTGGAAATGAATACATAAACACGCGAACTCAATGGTCGAAAACCACAAAATTAAATGGTGTGGAAAAATTCTCCAGCACCCTGAGAAAATCCACTTGGGAATTTTCACAAATTTCCCTCAACTTTTATCGTTTCACAGATTCTCTCTTTCACTCTCTCTCTCGTCCTGGAAAAACTTGAGAAGCTTTTTGGCAACAGTGCTTTGAGAGACATTTTTTTTGCGTTTGTCGCGCAAAACTCTTTTCGTCTCTGTGTGTGTGTGTGGAAAACTTTTCTGCCAACCAACAATATTTCTACCCTCAAAAATTTAAATATTTTCCTTATACAAAGATTGTGTGGTTGTAGCATTTTTCATGTGGTGAATTTTTCCAATTTAGTACTTTCCCTGCCTTTGTGACATTTCCAATTTCCCGAGGAAATATTTATAATACCCCGAAACTGTAATTGCTGCATATTGTCTTTTAATTTAAGAGCAGGGAAAATGCTCGTGGCTTGAATGTTTGGTGGCTGGGTTTGAAGGTGAAAAACCCTGGTTCTTGAAGGCATTTTCCCAGAGGAAATGTTTACCTTTCTCGTGAGAAAACGATAAATTTGCAGAACACGATGAGGTGAAATTTCCATTGGATTTCTAGTCACTTTATTCGGCAGTATTTATCTGATGTTACTTCAGGGAGTTTCCCTAAGAAATCCATTGATCTCTTTGCTGAAAAACCATGCTGAAAAGTATCTGGATAATTCCATGATTTTTCCGATACATTGTCAGCGATAATGATTCGTTTGGAAAATGGAATAATTTATTCGGAAATTCACATATAAAATTAAATGCGGGAAATTTTTCAATTTAATATTTAATCACACAATTTCAAACTATTACAAAGTGCAATCATGCAGTTTGTGTTCTCACCGAAAGCTCAAATGAGCTTTTACGATTCTGTGAATTTTCGCACGTAATCAAAATGATTCCGTACATGAGAATTGGTCATTAAAACTTGGTTATTGTCCAGATGACAATCACTTGCCAGGTTAAATTGAAGAGTTTCTGGGCAAGCAAGAAGGGCAAACAGAATCTTAAAGAGCATCTGCTTGTACTTCAATTGAATTACAGCCAAAGGGGAGATTATATAGTCAGATGTGATGTACAGCTGAGCTTTGTTTGTCACAAGGAGAAGACTTTGCTTAGAAAAAATCAATTTTATAGTTTTTTTAGGTTATGTGATTGATTTAAAACAGATTCTTATCATCAAATAACAGTCAAAATCATACAAATTGTGGCTAAATTTGGAATATTTCTCTTCTTCTTGGTACAGTTTGAGCATTTGTGTTCTAAAAACTTCAGATTGGGTTAATTTCGGAAGAAAAAAACAGCTTTAAAGTCAAACATAACCTCAAAAATATCATTTTAACCTAGATTATTGTATTTTTGTTTAGTTATTTCCGCGGTTTGAACTTTACTATCAAGTAGAAACATTGTGAAATTCCCTAAATTGCGTCATTTTCAGATTTTAAAGGATTTAAATGAGTTCAAAAAGGGTTTTCAAGTCGATTTTCATAACCTCACAATTTGAGAAGAATTGTTTTAAGCATATTCTGAAGACTAAATTCATTAAAAATGATTAAAATCGCTTTTTACGTTCTGAAATCCAAAGATTTCAAGAGTTAAAACTTCTTGTAGCGGAAAAACCCAGATTAGATTGTGAAACTTTAGAAATTCACGTAATAACGAGTCGAAAGAGTCTGAAAAGCGATAGAAAATGCAATTAAAGACGTTCAGAAGTGTCTGGAGTGTTAAAGATTCTGCACAGAGGCTAAGAAAATACAGATTTAGGGCATATTATCTCCCCCTTGGTTTTGCCTACCAATTGTGGAAATACAAGAATGTGGTGTACAGATTTAAGCTACATTACTTGCTCCTTGATTACAACAAAGGGGACCCAAATATGGGTTTTGGTTGATGAGAAATTTAATTAAACTATACACAAGATGTTTCTGGTCATCCCGAAGACTCAGGAGGATTTTCTGGGAAAATCTTGTCGCATTTCAAGTCTCAACAAAGAGAGAAAGTTTAATTCATATGCACTTCAGTGCACTAATTGAAGGGCGGAGCTTGCGAGCGGTTAATTGTGAGATGTGTATGGTGGGAAAATGAAAGACTTTCCAGCCATTTTTCAGATAATTAAAGCGAGAGGAGATCGCGTGGGGGCGGCGAAGACGGAGTTGCTCAGCAATAATTCATAGGAGAGCACAAATGCCTCTGCAGAGGTACAAATAGCTGGGCAATTTATATGTCTTGGGCGGGGGAGTTGGATAGAGGAGTTGTGCGCTGAAGGCACGGAAAGAAGAATAGTAATCCACTTTGTGGTTGGGCTCTTCCTCATTTCTGCACGCATTGGTGTGCCGGGGAGGACTTTTGAGTGCTCCCAAATGAGGGTGGAAACATTGTGAACAACAATATTGGATTATGGGTAGGAAATTGGTCAGGGAATTGGCGATAAATTGAGGGTAAATCACCACCAAAAGTGTACGTTTCGCAACTCATTCCTTATGCATGAGTACGCACCTGGAAGCCTGGGCCGGAGTGCGGAGCTTATACTTAACTCCTGAAGGGTGCATAATATGGGGACTCAAAGAGCAATTGTTTACGTGACTTGTATTTGAGATAAAACTTTCCTAATAAGCTCCTCTCACGCTCATTCCATCGCTCTTCTATGGATACATTTTGCGTATCATAACCTCTCCTCTCCCTCCTTGGGTTGAATGTACTTCTTCAAGTACGACAAATTTTCCGAAATTTTCCACCCTCTTGAGCCCACTCGAGTGGAGCGAGAGCGAGAGAGAAATGCTTAAACATACCATTTACGCAGGGGGAGAAATTCTCATTTTCCACAACATGGAGTATCAACATATCATTTTGCAATCAAAAGAGTCATCAACATTTTCGACCCTCCACCTCTCCTGCCAATTAATTGTGAATACATTCTTGTGTTATTTTTAGGGGGTGCGAGACGCTTTCCGTATTTAATTTACGCCATACACGAGGCACTTTACGCTCAGCTTTTCACACAAGTTGTTTGTATTGAAATTTATAGGAAAGTTATGAGGTCAAAATTCCATCTTCTCTTTAACTGTGACTCTTAAAGTGCGGAAGGAAAAGGCATTTGTGTGACTGAAGAGGAATTGTGAGCAAGGGGAGAATAATATGGCTAAAATCTGTAAAATAACTCTTGACACTTTGCACACAATTTAATAACTCTGATTTTCAGAGTGTCTTTAAGGAATTTTATTGGATGGTTTTCTGCTTTTAATTGCACTTTACGACATTGAATTATTAATTAGAATCCTTTTAGCTGGAAAGTCTGGTGTTGTGAAGTGAAAATTTGAGGTTATGTCTGATTTGAACCTTCTAAACTTTCACAATCGCAATTATTATTGAGTGAAAATACATGATTTTATATTTTTAAATGAAAACCTCTTCGTTTGCAACGGAAGAAATTCAATTTTTAACTATTTTTTCGTCTTTAATAATTCACATAACCTAGAAAATATATGACAAAATGATGAATTGGATAAAAATTGATTCACAAATCTTAAGAAAAAATTTATCTCCCAAAATCACGAATTTTGAGAATATATTTTCACTTTAGACACAAGAATTTCTACTTTTAAATATTATTTATGTCTTTAAATCAGTTACATAACCTAGAAAAAATGTCAAAATTACGATTTAGGTGAACAATAATTTCACAGAGTAAAATAATCAACAGAAAATCGAAACTATGAACCAAATCTGAAACTCCTGCTGATCTGTACACCACTTCTGGCTGTATTATCTTCCCCTTGATTGCGAGGATAAGAACCGTGCAACTTTTCAAATGTCTGCAAAGCAGCATTTTTCACACAAAACCTCATTATAATTTGAGTGAGCTCTGAGAGACGACAAAAGAGTGCAAACTTGGCTGATATGTGGCTTGGATGGCGGAATTTTCCGCAATGAAACAATAAAGATCCAGCAAGTTGTCTTGCTTTTCTTGTCTCAAAACGCCAAACCACACTCACACGTGCTGAAAAACAGCCATAAATACGTGCCGCTCTGGCGTCAATTGAGTCGACAGGTGAGGGAGATTTTTCGCAGAGAAAATCTCTCCTAAATTTGCCTGTCATGGAAAGCTTTCCTTGCCTCTTAGTCGCCCCTTTTCCACCTTCCCGCTTAAGAGACTCCGGCTGGATTTAACACAATTAAAGCTCGGAAGCTCAGTCTGCATGACCATTTTTCATGATTAATGAATTCCAGACTCGTTTTTTCTCTCTCTCTCTCTCTCTCTGTTCGCCCCCAGCAAATGCTGAATGTTTCAGCTCTGGGGGGAGGATTTTTGGGGGATGGGATGGCTTCCGGACTCCCGCATTTTTATGAACTTGTCGCTGTTTTGGGCGTGTGTGTGTGATTTTGGAAATTGGTGCGGTCAGGCGAAGAGTGGATGATTGGGGGAAATGGCAGAAAAAAGCATCAAGCGCGCAAGCACTGACAAGCCAGAAATACACAGAAATATGACGAAGGGAGGCTTTCTGCTGATCGAGGCAATTACACAAAATATCCCCAACAACAAAAATTCCCATCCAATTGACCCCTCCTTTAATATTTCAATCTCATCGCCCGGCACAAAGGGGCGCACAGAGAAATCATGGGCCGCCGCTCAATCAGTCAATGTCTCTGGCCTCAGCTTTTTCCTGGGCTTTTCCACCCCCCCGGGGAAGCAAGCTCACGGGCATTGTGATTAAAACGCCGCCTCTCAGCATTGGAATTTAATTTATTGCGCCCTTTTCTTTGCCCATTGCGAAGTGCGAGAAAAAAAAAACATGCACAATGATTCCATTTCTCTGGCGGAGATTAACTCCATCCATGCCAAATTTAATTACTCTCCTTCGATGAAGTCTGCCGAAGTGGGTTTTTGCACATTATGGCAATAAATTGCCAAATTTTCATCTCTCTAGAGTGGTTGTTTTTGGTCTATATCTTCTCCCTTTTGCCATTTTGCTAACGTTGAGGTTGCTGAGAAGCGCTTTTAAATTCGCGCCTGAGGCACACGGAAGATTTTTCCAATTTCCATGCTACTCTATCTCAAGGGACCATCTTTGGAGCATTCCAAAAATCGAACAAGAGCAACAAAGCAGTTAAATTGAATTTCATGCTGAAGCCTCACTCTGTCCCATTGGAAATGTTCCAAAAGTAATTCACGTTTCAGTGAAATAGGAAGTCATTTTCATGATAGGCTAAAAAGAATTGACACTTTTGTCAGAAAAATTTACAGACAGAGACTTTATATAGTAAAAATCTCTTTATTCTCCAACAGTTTCACATGAAAACACAGGCATTTCCCTCAAGAAAAACTCCCCCACACCGGAAATTTCCCGGACATTGGGGTAAATTTAATTGTCAACACAATAATAAAAGATTGTGCCAAAACAACCGCAGCTTTTTCCCTCCAATCCACCTAGAAACTTCCTCACAAAGTCCTCTTTCGAAGAGCCTCTTCTGTACCTCATTAATTTAGATGAAGAGACATTTGTTGCTCCGGCGGAAAAAAGCTTTCTCGCGGATGAAGACACTTTCCCGCCCTTCTTTTCTCTGAGCTCTGCACCTCATAAAGGGAGATATGTTGTTGATTTTTTCCCCTGACAACACCCCCATTAATTTGTGTATTTCCTCCTCTGATGACCAGCGCAAATTCCGCCGAGACGAAATTTGCAAGGTTGCTTGGTTCAACACAGTGACTCCAAATTAAATAGAACCACTCAAGCTAGAAGTCTGAAATTTTCCACCAATCTTCCATCATTAATGAGTAACTATCATGCCGAGTTTGAGAAGATTCGGCTTAATTCTTGATCCGCTTGTGGTGCTTAAACCAAACCTATGCATAAACAATTCTCTGGGTGATTTTCATTTATTATCTCGAGCTTATAAGTGCTTGATATGAAAATTTTATTAAGTGAATATCAAATTATGAAACTTCAGAGAATCGTACGGAGAATTTTCGGCTGCGCAAGAAAGGATATTTAATCAGGGGAATACTCAGAAGGACCTCTTTTTCCAGGAAGAGCGTTTGGAGCGCAATGAAGCGCGTAAAAAGGTCGTTTTCGCGGAAAAAGTGTCGCGAATAACGTTTTCGACGAATTCTGTTCAGTTGTTTAAGGCGAAATCCATCATTTCTGCTTCTGAGATCCATTAGGAATTGTTTCCTAATAGATTAATTGAGTCTAGGACTGAAAATATAGGCGTTGCATTTTCTACGCCATGTTTTAATGCTGAATTCTTCGCTTTTGAGGCACCAAAGAAATCTCCCAAATCTCTTATCATCAGATACATGACAAGTGAACTTTGGGCCATCAAAACACAGGAAATTCACGACTCATCAATATATCTCAGAGCCTCTCGCGTGGCTCTATTTAATTGGGAGCAACTGTGCTTTGCAGAATTGCATGCATTCAGTGGGGAAAGTATGGGGAAAGGGCACATGGACAAATAAATAATTAATTGAAAGGGATGTTAGAATTGAATTTAAGCTCACAGCGCCCATATAAATTTCCAACTTCCGGGCAAAAACTCCGCTGGATTTTTTTCTCTCTCTCTCTGAGTGCCTCGAAGGCAGTTTGCCTGAGGAGTTTTTTTTTCCCGACCACACAAAAAGTCTATTTCATTGGCGGTGGAGTGAAAATAAATTTTCTGCCCAGTATTTTCTCGAGAGGGAGGGAGAGAAAAACTCCCCCTTTTCACCCTTCAGAGTTAGTCCACGGCCGTTTAAGTGGATAAGTTTTGAAGAGGGTTTTGTCGTGTGTGTGTGTGTGTGTGGAAAAAACCTCATTCACCCTCTGGCGCAACACTATCATTTAACCACGTGTATATATAGCAATTTATGCGGATGATATTTTGCAATTATGATATCAAAACGCCATTTCTCGCTGCTGTAATTGTAAAATCTCATTCACGATCCGTCTGCAATGTTTCACATGAGCGCAGAAATTGCATTTCACCCCCTCCACCCTCCCAGGGTTGTGTGTGATGATGAAGAACACGAGGGACAAATTAAAAATTATCGCAGAACTGTCTTTCTCTCTCTCTTCCATGTCAAATTGGGTCATGGAGAAGTGCGATGAGGAGGGAAGAACAGATAGGAGTGTTTTTCCTCACATTTTCCCTTGGCTGGAGATGGGACTTTTGATATTTTCCTCCCCCATATCTGTAGTGGATACTCATTACGGTGGAGCATCATCAGCAAAAATTCAAACCCCATGACGTGTTGGATTTACTTAGGGCGCAAAGGGTGAGACTATCATTTGAGCAAACTCCCCTCATTTTCGCGCGCCCCAGGAAAGTTTGAACACTAAACAAGTGAGTTGTGGCAAAACTATGGAGTGAATATTTATTGTTACATTTATTATTATTATTAAATTTAGTCACTGTGTTCCACATTTTCAAGCAAAACAAACCTCAAATGGACAGCGAGAGGACACAAATTGTGTGCAACATTTTCCGCGTCCTGTGAGACTATGAGAGTGGAAATTATTTGCCGTTTGTGCGACATTTGGCCACGGAAATGCTCTAATCCGGCATGTTTTCTCGCCATTTGCCATGAATATGTAAGCAAAAGCTCTCGCTCTCTGGGAAGTTGGGGGAAAAATTGAGCTGTTTCTTTGTTTGATGAAACAACTTAAACACAACGAAATGACGACAAACTAACCCAGATTGTGATGCCATTGTGTGCCTATCCTTGAATGCTCCTGACAGTGGATTTACGATCCTCGCACTGATGGAGGATGTTTCCCGAAAAACACAGATGAAACAAATTAAATATTTACTGCTGGGCGGGAGGGTGGAATTAAGCGATTTCGATGGCATAAATCCATCAATTGAAAACATGACATGGACACTAAATTTCAAGTGCTATATTTTTGTTTGTCGTCGAGGCGTGGGTGATAAAATTTATGGGGAATTTCATTTCAAGGGGATCCCTATTAAATTTGATCCCCCAGTTTTTCCCACACTCATCGAATGGATTTTCCAAATTGGGGGTGGGCATTTTTATTGCAAACTCTCCCGGAGTCATGTTGGTGCCCCCATTTGGACAACAATTGAAACGTAATGAATGTTTTTGCGACAAATTTGTCAGTGTGAATTTATGTCGTGTGACTGTTTGGACAGTAGCAATACCTGGTAGTCCATGTAGTTGCCGTAGCCCATGTGGTTGCAGGAGCAGGAGCAGTGCTTGATGTGATCCTGCAGCTCCAAATCCATCACGGCGGTCTTGGCCGGCGGCGGCCGGAGGCGCTCTGGCACATCGAGGACATCAAATAGATCTGACGCCTCTCGCTCCAGGGCCTCCAGTGCGCGGACATCCCATTGTCCTGAAGTCATTAACATGCGAAAGGGTCTCTCGCCGTCACTCACACTCTCCCACCGCGATTGAGGACTTTGATGGATTTTTTTTCCTTTCTATTTACTCTCCAACACTGTCGTGATGCCGAAAGAAGAAAAAGCTCCTCTTCACAGCATTCTCACCCTCGTCACTCTGCCAACACTCCTCCAAAATGCGCGTTTTTCCTCAGTCCACTGGACTTTTTACACTCAAATGATGGCCACAATTTCCCGGCTGAGGCACTCTGAGCAGGGAAAACACTTGGCGGAAGCGACGCGATTCGGAAGCACTACCATTCACGGCTACTTCTGCACACAAACTGTCGGCGGTTTGTTTGTGGGGCGCCAAGAGAGGGATTCTCTGTTGACTCTCGTCGCTCTCCAGCAGCCGCTCTCTCTCTCTCTCTCAAATGCCACACTGAGAGGGCGGATAAGTAAGGATATTTGCTGGGATGATTTATCCAGGAGAAGTGTAAGAAAATTCAGTGTAATTCATGATTAGCAATAATAATTATGCACAGATTTAGTCAAAAACTCGGTTAAGGAAAGACAGACAAAACAAAGGATGTGATAAGCAAACGCCAAGGCTGACTAACAAACCCAATTTTAAAGTCTATTTAAGGACGCCCAAATACGTCTTTTGGTGAAGAGATGATCGAAATCGGTTGATAAACAGCGGAGATATAGGCCGGTCAAGGTGTGAACTTTGACCCTCCATATCTCCCCTTCTGTGATTTCAATCCCCATGAATGGGGGTTCGTTGGACAGATCTTGAGGCCAGCTAAAACATATTGAAATTTTGGGCAGATCCATGCCATAGGGGCTGAATTAATGAGGAAAACGTGTTTTAAGGATGTTCAAAATGGCCGTCAGATTTCATCATAATCAGCGTCTCTGAGGTCATTTTAGTCGATTTTGCGAAACTTAATTTTTTGCGCAATCACAGAACTGGAATTCACTCGGCTTTACTCAAAATTCATGTGTTCTATAAATCCTGCGAGTGAATAAATCTGTTATTTGCCATCAGGCAACACAATATAGCTTTCGCTCTCCGCATGGACCGGCTTTTCGCCCTGAATCCTGAGAGTTTGTCCTCTCGTGAACTCTGCCTCTCTCTCTCTCTCTCTTCCGCTCAGTCAATGTTGTCGCGAAAGGACTCCCGGCTATTTATCAGGCCAGGAAGGTTTAGTTGGAAATTACTCTAAATGTATGTACTTTTCGAAGAGATAAAGCGAGAGGATTTTTATGTAGCCGCGCGCTACACTTCCTCAAAGGAGTTACATCGTCGTCCTCGTTGCCCCAAATGGCTGTTCATGTAATTTCAGTGGGTTCTGCCACCCCCATCCCCTCTGCAGGCAGGTGATTTTGACGCGGGGCGATGGGAAAAAATGCCTCTGTGCGCTCTTAGAGAAGAATAAAATGGTGAAGTGGAGGAGACAATTTTATGGCTCAATTTACAAGGAGTCATGAATTTAATTGCAACATCTCTGTTTCAGGTGCAATAAAACACGCCTCATCTTTCTTCCAGTCGAACTGTCTGACAAATTAATTTAATTAATTTCCACATGAACAACTCCATGGGGAATTTTATGGCGCTTATCACTCTATGAAATTCAGACTGTTTCATTCGTTTTTTTTTTCTCTGTATTTTCCACCAAGCAATCGTGTCGAAACGACTGTGGCAATTTGTCCTTAGTATGGAGTTTGTTGAGAGGAAACTTTCTCTCATGTTTTTAAGCACTTTATGGGCGCGCCTGAGTGAATTTTTGGCCATGGAAAAGAGACTCAATCGATTTTTAATTAGAATGCTATCTCGGCAAACTAACTTTTCCTCATTATAGAGTGCATGGCTGGCGGGCAGATGAGGAGCGACGATACATGAAAACGAGGAAGTTGGCTGAAGAAAATCGGAAGACGGAGATTTTTGTATCCTCTCGTCCTTCCGCCCACGCATCCTAATGAAGTTTTTCCACCCCCACAAACAAAGCCAAAAATAATGTGTCGGCGGGCTCGCTGTGCTCCTCTGTATGAATACAAATTGCTTCTCAACACAATGTAAATTTCATGAAGTTTCCTCGCCATTCGAAGAGATTTTTCCCGTGCTTCTTCTGCCCTGGAGCCATAAGATTGTCTGACGAGAGGAGATCTTCTAAAGTAGTGATTTTAACTTTTGACGAGAAACTTTCCCCCGAGCAAAACTCCCCCAGCACAATTGCTTTATCCGTTAAATGCAGTTAAGGCGTTTAAAAGAAAATGCCCCAAAAGCAAGTTGAGGCGCGGGAAAAACACATCAAATTGAGGGCATTGTACGCAATTGAAGTTCAATATGATAAGGAAAAAAATTCTCTGTGCTCTTTTTTTTGCCCAGAGGCTGGGAAAAATGAGAGAAAATTTTCATGATATCGATCAATTGATCTCCCTCCATGACTTTCCACCTTCGTCATTTTCTGTGAAAGGCAAGTCTCATCGTCTCCCTTCACATTCAAATTGCGTTCTTTGACTTTTTCTCCTCTCTCTCTGCGCCCTTCCCCACCTTTTCTTCCTCCCTTTCAATCGAGGAAATTATATATAGGCACGTATGCGGAGGAGAGAATAGTGGGTGGATGAAAAGGAAGCTCTGAATACACGCAGGAAAAAAAAGGAGGCGATATGCGGTGTGAGGAGTGGGAAAGAATTGCGGAAAAGCCGCCACAAGAGCGCTTGAATGTGAAAATAATCAATACAAATGATCACCGGGAGGAGAATTATTGGGCTGTCAGCAGGAAAACTAAAGGAAAAGGATGAGAAAAGGAGTGCTGAGCAACTATAGGAAAAATTCATGGGATGTGCGCTTTTTCACTACTAGACTTTTCACTCATTAGCATTTTATGACTTTCATGAGCGACGCACGAGTGTCTTCTTGAGTGTGTCTTCTTCGTGATAAAAACATTTTCTCTGGGGTTCCAGGAAACACGCCCGTCTCATCACCACCATCGAAAATGCCGTGGAAAACACTGTTGAATTATTCGCCAAACACACGCAATTCATCATCGATCTCATTTGAAAAACACATCGATTATTTTTGGCACTTTGACGAATTTCTTTCCTCCCATCCGGTAAACTTTCTCCCCCCTTTCTCCCTCTCTCTCACCCTGGTTTTCTTATTAAAGTTTTCGCCACGTCTTAAAGTGCCAATTCACGTTCTTTCCACCTTTCCTCGGGGAGACACTACAAGTTTGCACAAGTTTTAGTTGCAGAGAAAAGGATGAGAAATGGGAGAAGTTGAGCTGAAATGTGACATTTGTGAATAAATAATGGAAATAAATGTTTATGTGTTGCATGGAAATAAAATATTCTCGTTAAAAGGCTTTAATGTCAAGAGACATTTTCAGAGACAACTTTCATGTTCACCACACGGTTCGTTTCTAGACGAATAATACGGCTATGTAGAATCCAAATTTAATGCACATTGCAGATTAGAGATAAACAGGATCACTTCTTGACACTTCTTCAGCCTCTGTGCAGAATCTCTAACACTTTTAGACACTTCTGAATGCATCTAAAGACAATTTTTTAAACTCTTTTAACTATTTCTCACACTCATTTCGTTGTTTTTCCGTCTAAAGAAGTTTAAACTCTTCAAATTCTTGGACTTAAGATTGTCTAAATGTCTCACGATTTGCCCATGAACAGTCTCTGTCTTGCTTTCCTAGTTTTGTCTTCGAAAAACACCAAGAAAAACTTCTTCTCAAATTGTGAGGTTATGAAAACCAACTTTAAAACTTTCTTGGACCAAATTAAATCCTTTCAGACGTGAAAATGAGTAAATTCAGAGAATATCACAGTGTTTCTACTAGGTTCTAAGCAAAGAGTCATTAATCTAGGCTAAAATGACATTTTTGAGGTTATGTTTGACTTTAAAGCTATTTTTATCTTTCGAAATTTAACTAATCTGAAGTTTTTCGGGTAGAAAAGTCCAATTGTGGCAAGAAAAAGAGAAATATTCCCAGATTAAATACCATTCAGATGATTTTAAAAGGCTTTTTGAACACCAGAATCTGCTTTAAATCAATTACATAACCTAGAAAAGGCAATAAAATTGATTTTTTCTAGGAAAAATAATAGTAAAAGATGCTTTTGGAGTCTAAATTTTTGAAATATTTCACCACTTCCAATTCCAAACACTTCCGTGAAGTTGTACACCACTTGAGACCATAATATCTGCCCCTAAGGGAAAGCTCATCTGTTATCTATAGTGTTGCTGATTCAGCCCGAATCTACTCTGATCCGTCGTTTCATCTCCATCCTGGCGCACGGATCCTGTGCATTGGGAAATGCATCTCTGGGCAAGGAGACGCCACGGAGGAGTGAGAAGAGGTGAAGCACGAGCAAGCGTGGTAACGACCGAAACTTTCGACACAGGAATACCTTACATATGTGAAGTGTTTTCATGAAAATCAACCCCTGCGCCAACACTGAGTTTTGTATGCATATAAATATCCCTTTCGCTCGTTGAAGCGCAGTTTTCACAATATCTTTTTGTTTTACAAACTCCGAGGATGAACCCTTTTTGCCGTGCCATAAAGGCCGGCATTTTCAGGGAGCGGAAGGGATACTGTGTGTGTGGTGAAGTGAGTCCTCGAGAATTGAGCCTCCAACAATGCTGAATCCTTGTATAGTCTGTTATTTATTCACCTGCGAAATGCGTAAAATGCTTCCTTAAGTACATCCCCAGTCGACCATTCTTTTCTCTTCTTGCCATGGAGGAAAATGTTTATGAGATATCGATCAACTTTTGTCTTATTTACACCCTCTAAAGAATGGAAAATACTCCCACCTGGTGAAATATTTCCTTACCCGGGAAACATACATAAAAACAAGGTGAAAACTACTCTCTTTTCTCCTTCTTTCTCTCTCTGGAGTGTGAAATAAAATCACTCTCGCACAAAACACCATGTCAATTTATTATAAACTTTTAATGCCTATGCAGAAAAAAGCTCAATTTTCCACAGAACTTTGTTTGATGAAAAATTCATTTTGCCCGGCATTTTAATTAATTACGCCTGAGGTATATTATTTGCTGGGCAAATGTGTTGAAGTAATTTGCGTGTTATGTTTCATGATTGATTGATTTTTGGATGAAATTACATGGCAAAATATCTACATCAACACCGCAACGAAGATGAAGTTGAAAGTTTGTAATAACAATCTTCGAGGGGAAAAGATAAACTCAGCCAAAAAAGGATGTCGAGTTTGAAATTTTCTCGTCTCAGCAAATATTTGAAGACCTTAAAGTCGGTGCCGCTAATTGGGTGAAAAATGAGAAGAAT